GTGAGCAATAAAAAAAGAGATCGATGCATATGGTTTTTCAGGTAGAATTCAACACTATTTACGGGTTAAAATGAGGAACCCACAAATAGAATTTATTTTGAATATCGTAAGCTTTTCATATTGACATTACATGGGCACTCCTCGGGGATTTGATAAGATGTGATGAATGTATTTTGTTGAGGAAAAAAAGAAGAAATCAATCAACATTTTAAAAAAAGGGGAACATATAGATGCCGATGTTGATTGTTTTCACTATTATAAAACAGCAATAGAAATGATGAAAACGACAAAAGGTGCACTGCCATTGAATAGTCAAACGGTCATGGTTAATTCGAATCGGAAACTCCTTCGCTCCTCTCTTTCTCCATCTCCATCGTCTTACTGATTGATATGTTGTAGAAAATTGAAATTAAAAATTGATTGAAATTCGATTTGTGCGTTGTTTTATGTGCTTTCGATAGTGTGCATGCACAATATTGTTGTCCTTGCAAGCAACAACAATGGCTACCAATAAACTGGATTAATTTTTTCACGCTATTTTTTTTATATCGCTTTTAGTGGAATGGCTCGAACGATTCGTAATCGTTAACATGTTGAAATGTTTCCGCTCACTCTCACTTTTTTTTAACTTTTTCTTCATCGCTGTTTGGTACCTTTGGTTCGACATGACGACCAAAACTTATTACCGAGACACAAACGCAGTCTGTCGCTAGTTTTTATTGATTTCAACGCATACACAAAGACAAATGAATTGAATATATATATGAGAACGTGTCGTTAAAATATGATGAACTTCAAGCAATGACAAACAGAAATAAGCGACCAATGCCCAATGATTGACAATATGTATACATGGCATATGTTATGTGATTGCATACTGAGCAACACCTGTCCCCCCCGATTTGACGCCGCACACACAACACAGTGTAGAGCCCACATGCCTAATGAAATAAGTATATCAATCGATTCACACGGGACAATTTTATATCATGGTATAGTTGTTTACTGATTATTTCGTTGATAACTTTAAACCTGACTTTGGAAATTCGAATACCAACTGTCTTGCATCGTCTAAATTGATCGATTGTTGTGAAAGGAAAACATTAAAAAATGAAATAGTTTGACATTTCTATGAAGAAAAAATGCGATAAATTTTCACTTAAACGAAATCAATCAATTTTGATGAGTGGGTGAGGACAGAAGTTTAGCCATGCCAATATTTTAAGAACAAACAATTACTCATGCCATGGAAAATTGATTTCGAAATGCCAAACCATCCGCTTATTCTGTACGTTTTATTCCTAAGTGAAAGTTTTAATAAACCATATTATATTGATGCATATTATTTTTATTATTTCTTTATTTTTCTGAAATCGATTGGAATAATAATCCAAATTCAATATATTGTTTAAACATTTTCTTTCATTCTATAATTTGAATGCGAATAAAACATTTAGGATTTTGTTCGTTGAAAAATCGAAAGCAATCAAAGAATCTTCGAAACAAAAATCCAATCAGAGTTTTGTTGAATTGCTATAGCTTCTTTAAAGGACACCATAAAATCGTAATAAGCATTGAGATTGCCGCTTATACAATGTACGAGCGCGTTGAAATCATTGGTTATGAATAGATTTCGGAGTAACTTTCATAAAGTGCAAAGATCCTCAAAATAATGGACTATCACATTCAATTTGATTTGATCTTAAAACGAAAATTCGTTCATTTTTAAAGCAAAAACTTGACGCAACATAAATAGTAAGTCATGGACAAAGTAAACTTTCCAAAAAAAAGTATCAATTACAAAAACTTCTATTCATGACATTAAAAAAATGTGAAATAGTTGAATAGTAAAAAGTTCAAATCGTAAAAAAGTAAAGTTTGAGAATGCTTACCAAAGTTATTTCACTTAATTGGATTCTTTCAAATTGTATTAGAAACGCTTTTTTTGTGCACTAAATACATTTTACAAGCTTCGAAACGAATGAGAACAGAAAATGGACAAGGCGATCAAAAAAGATTAATCTTTTCCAATTTACGTTTTATAATTGTGCATTTTAAAAATGAACATGACGACATTTTATGCGGGAGATACGGAGATGCCTGCATTCATGTGTAACAGCATATCAATCACTTATATAAGTTAATCACATGGTTGCATCCGATAGCATCGTGCATTTTGTGATATATGTTTGGATGTTAGGTGAATGTGTTTCGTTCAGAGATTACTTTGTAATGAAAAACTAAACATCGATATAAAATACATTATCTTGATAAATACACTATTTTCATTTTCCACGATAGATATCATATTAAAATGATCATGCACATTTGTATACCAGTAAAAATGTCCTCAAAAATGTCAATATGCTTCTTCATCACAAATCGTTTGGTTTGGCTCATCGGAGCTCTAATCGAATAATCTAAATAAGATTGGTGTCAGGGAACTACCACGTAAAATAAACGAAGTCATGACACAAAAAAAAACCGAACGCATAATCCAGATGGAATATAATATAAGTAATGCCTTCGGGATTGTAGCGATCTTTGAAAAATGATGCAAAAAATTAATTATTGCCAGCCATAAATCTCGATACAGTTGAAATGTTTATAGGTGGAAATTTTTACGATGTGTTGTATGACGTCTTTTTCGCATCTTTCAGTTTCACAGGTGGCAAGCTATGTTCGCGCAAACCATCGAATTTGTGTGTTTTACGAAAAAAAAAACTTCAAAATAAGCCTTTGAATTGTGATTATTACCTTGAATACATTCATTAGATTTACTGTTGAAAACGGTTTAATTCGAATATGTCATTCGTACAAAAATACAATAAATACTTTCTAACATGTATTACTACCGTCAATTAGCATTGAATTTATGAGTTCATTTATTTTAAGTGTTTGTGAGTATGAGAGTTGAGATGATATATAATGCGAAAAGGCTTAAATTTCTTATAATTAATGGACAGCGGAGTCGTTTCATCACTTTTGATAGCATAATTAGAATCTGGCACAATATACAAAATAAATCTAGTTATAAAACATCTTTCAATGCTGAAATGCGCTATTTTTTTGATAAATGAAATAATTTTAGAAACCAAAAAATATTCATCTTTTGTGGTATTGCGCTTAATATATCTAAGTATTCAGTTGGAAACGCAAAATGATGCTTATGCCATTTAAGGTTCAGTATAGGCCACCACATGATAAAATATAATTTGTGCTCTTTACCTAAAATTAAAGCGATTTTTATAAATAATTATAAAAAGGAAACAAAATACGTACGTTCAATGAATTAGATCGAATTAATTTTACTGTGCATTATCACTATATACACTCATATACAGCACAAACTAATATATGAAAGACATATGGCAAAGGATTTTAGAAGGAACTATAGTAATTATTGTGGATTGCGTGCTCTTAACCGGCTTATGTTGGAATTCAAAATCGATCGTCACCTGAACGAAATGCCTTTTGTTGCATTATTATCAATAATAAATATAAAAAATGATAAACTCACATGAATAGCTTATACATTAAATGCTAATGATATAGATTGGATCTTAAAGCAACTATGTTCTCATATTCCACCACTATTCAAGTTTACCATGTTGCGGATACTTCTTACTCAAATCTACATCAAAATAATATTTGGATTATATAAACGATATTTTGCACACACATATGAGGAATTAGCGGTGTGTTTGTGTGTTATATCATTTCATGAGATAAATATACCAAAATTGATTGACAAGAGGATTAATTATTATAGGATTATGTAGTTTTGTTGAAATAAATTTTTAATTCAACCAATCGAAATTCAATGTCAAATTGGATTTATTTTGAGTAAAAGTCACAATCCAACTGAATATATTTCCTGGTTTTCTGAAATAGACATCTCATTATCATCATCATGTACAATACGTAATTAATATATATTCAAGCTACCGATCAAAAAATAATACAGCTGCATGCCATCAGACAGATTGCCATTAAATATTCGTGAGTTCCAAATGTTACCGAATTTATATGACATTGAAAAGTTCGAAAGATAATACGAAGCAGTTAACTTTTTTTTTGGTTTGTGGGGGGAGAGGTTAAGTTTTGCCGACGTCGTTTAATTGATGACATTATTCCGTGTTTGAATAATCATTCAAATGGTGTGCTTGTCTTGTGGATGGCATTTATTGAGTTGAAACACCCCATAAAATAGTTTAAACTCCAATGTTCAGGCACAATGGTTTCCATTCGTTTATTCCCTTCGTTGTGTTTTATCTTTGCAAGTGCAGTGCTTCGGTTGGGTCTCAAAGCAAGAAAAAAAAAACCGTTATGAATTAAAATTGTAATGGATTTTTTTTTATTATATTTTGTTTTCGTCGTTTATTTTGAATCGACTTGACCTCGTGCGACACATCCGAGTGTGGGTGTGTATCTCAACTATTAATACAAATGTAATTGCGTTTTACATACAAAAATGAATAAAAAAAGAGAATAAAATGAAAAAAAAAAAAACACTGACTGGAATATGTTTACAATACCATTGGGTCACTGAATCGCAAACAGTCGCTAATTTCAACATTGCCTGTTTGCATGTGTTTGGCCGATTCGTTTTGTAATATCATAGTTGAAGTCTAACAAACAAAGGATTAATTATTGCGATGTCAGATAAAAGTCTCCCGATGAACGAATCGAAAATATGAATTTTTTTACATCATTAATCATATTTTTCCCATCACTTTATTTTCTAATGTGCGTATGTCATTTTCACTCTACAATCCGCCAATTAATTACTTATTTACCGGCCCTAAATAGAGACCAAATTTGTTCAGCCATCAAGCAATACCATCATTGTTAGAGTCTAGTAGTTGTTTTAAGAAGAAAATCGAAATATGTTATTAATTTCACCGCTTGATCAAGAGAATAGTCAAACTTTTTTTTTTTGTAAAAATTCTCATTTGTGTGTGTTTTTTAAATATATTTTTTCTGCTTGATCTTTGCAGCAATGAATGGATAACAAACAATATGCTCGTGACCCGAGGGTTGCGCGAGTAAACTGGAATAAAACGAAAATATTGCTTGGGTTTCGAAATGTTGTTGCCGCTGAGTTTTACTGTCCCGCTCACGATTCTATCATTAATAGCTCTAATAATAAATATTACCGTTCTGTTCATTGTGGTTTTATGCAAACAGGTAGTTAAATGTTAAATTCGCGTTTTGCTATTGAAAATTCCCATTGGTCCACTGCAATTTCAATGCAACGTTATTGGTAGATGAAAAAGAAAATACTCTAATGTATACACGCTTATATTCTTACAGGTGTCACCAAGTAATATTTTGCTATTTCATTTGGGTATCATTGAATCATTGTTATGCATTGTGTTTTTGGTGTTTTCGGTACCAATTTTAACAAATCCGGTCGAAAACTTCAGCACAATATGTAAACTGGATGCATTCTTTTTGACAATTTTACATCCAATTGCCGTGTGGACAGTGTGTGGCCTTAATTGTGATCGATATTTTGCAATATCAGCGCCACTCCACTACAACGCTATTGTTAGTTCAAGAAAGGTAAGCAACAACAATAATCCCATGTGAAATTCGCAATGAAAAATGAAGAACTCTGTCATCTGCTCATTTTCCAATATTTTCCATTGGAATGGAAAGAGCAAAGAATGCTGGAATTTATGAACAAGATTTAATTTTCAAAAAAATTTCATTTTCAAGTAAATAAACGAAACAAACATTTGAGATAACATTGATTTCGTTGCCTTGATTGCTGCTTTTCATTTGCATAAAGCAAATGGACAATTGGCCCGGAAATCCATATTTAATTAGTTGAAAAGGAAAATGTGAAGAGTACCGAATTCCGAATCTCTCATTAGAATGAAACAAATCATTAAAATTTACAACAAACGACGTTTTTTGACGAAATATTTAAGGTAATTTGTGGTTTGGCCTGCGGTTGGCTCATCGCCATTATCGGAGCAACAGTTCCATTATTCGATGTTGCACCATATCATATGTATAAAGACGTTGGCATTTGTGGACCGAATTTCTCGAGTGAAAATTCACTTTGGTATGCAATCACATTTTCAATGTGCACATTCATTATACCTGGATCATTAATTATTCTGTGCAACGTAAAGGTGAGAGAGTAGAGTAATTCAATCAGTGTTGTTAATTTGTGTGCTGGCTGTTGTTACGTTAATATTCATTGTTCTCATTCTCATTTCTCCCGTTTTTCTATAAATCAGGTGTTCATGATTGCTAGATACCATCGTCATCGAATAGCTGGAGCAATTTTTCAAGTCACGCTGTCCGCTCAAGTAACGATAACACATCAACGAAATCCATTTCCATTGCCATTTGAAGCAATTCCACCGAAGCTGCGAGCACGCAGCCCAATGACTAGTGTTTTCCAAATTGTTGGCTCCTTTTTATTATTATATTGTCCATATTACGTAACAATATTATGGCATAGTTCATTGAGCTCCATTTTCAATTGGAACATTCCAAAAAATATGGAAATTCCATTGTCAGTTATTGTTCTATCATTTATGCTGATGCATTCAACCGTATTTGTCAACATTATCATTTATGGGTTGAAGTCGAAGGTGAGAGCAAGTCTATTTGATTCAACTATATTTTTCTCTGCTATAAAAATGTCTTTATAAATATTCCATCATTTTTTTTAGGTGTTGAGAAAATCGGTGAAAAATTATTGGCGAAAAAAGAAAACCAAACACGAGATAAACAATGAAATTCAAGCGCGTACACCATCAACATGTGGATCCCGTCGCCCGTCATTGAATGCATTGAATTTCGGACGTTCCATTTCACATCGACGTCTATCCGAAACGTATGTGAATTTAACACAAATGGGTAACGGATCACAACGGCCTCATATGAAACGAATTGCATCCGAACTGTGCTGGCAACCGCTCACACGTAATTCACCCGTTGAATTATTGCCGCATGCATCAAGTGCGAATACCTTGCAAATACCACACAACGACATTGCCGAAGATGATGGCAAAATCGAACTACATGACACCATTCAAACACGACTCAATTCTGTCAATGACAAATCGTTGTCGACAACATCATTAAATAGCCATTCCAATGCCAATTATGAGAAATTAACAACTACATACATTCAAAATACATGCAAAGAGGTTCGACGGTACCTACAAATTGGTACGCGAAAAGTATTTCGCATCGAATTAAATGATTCGTATAAACGAAAAGAGCCCGTTTCACCGTTACGTTCACCGCAAATTTTAATAACTAGCACCTATTCGGATGACAGTACCGATGTACAATCATCGCCCATTGTAAAGTCAAAGCATGATAATCTTTTTACAGAAAGTTTATTTGAACAAAAAAATAACCAAACAATCGATTTTGAGATTAAATCGGACGACAGTGATGATAATTTACCAATCAATGAATTTTATTCAAACAATGCAAAGCGATGTCTTTCGCTTGATGAGCCCGAATTGACAAAATATAAAATTCCTAATTCAGCTGGTGATATTGAAGAGCCATTACTGTTATCTTGGCCTACGACTCGGAAAAAGTACAAACATGAACCAAATATGAATCAATTATTCACTGATCGTTGCGACGAACCTGAAGTTGTTTTGTGAATGACACACACACTGATTACATTTCAGCTTTATTGTTATTGTTAATAGTTTTGAATTTTTTATTTTAAATTATTAATTTGTTTGTTAGGGGGATTTTATTTAAGTGTAGAATTAAAGAAGGTTATCAGATCGATGGATGGATGGATGGTACACCAGATGAATATGAAAAACAAACTGAAAACATATTTTGGTTTCATCACTCTTAATTACTACTATTATTTATGTTTTTCTATTAACGAGATTCAGCAAAGAATTCGAAATACCTGCACTACCAAGAAAAAAACAAACAAATTAAGAAACGTGTTGATTTAAAATACACCATTGACCACTTTTTATGCAATTGAATCCGCTCCCTCAACGAGGCCATTAAGATTTTATGGCCACGTCTCTGGTTCTATCTTCCAATGTCAGAAACCAATTGAAATACATTTATTTTCATTTTGAAAGGTATTATGTCATAATTTATGAAATGTCACAAAATTCATCCATTGACATACAATATCGACACGCTTCCAAAATACATATAATAAAAACCAACATACATTTAGATTTCCCCAAACGCACCCGATGCAACCATTTCAAGCAAAATCGATCTGTGTCAATGAGCCATCGAGATGGTTCTTTCAATCACAAGATGTTGGGATGAACGACATTTTTGTTGACAACGCCCGCGAACAAATACTTTGAGCATTTTCAATTTAAATGTGATGTCGAGATGTTAAATATCAAAATGTGAAACAAGATGCTTAAGAAATCCTCAGTGAAAATACGAAGAATGAGAAGGGCAAAACGCACGAATGCGATTCTGAATTGAACTAAAGGGAATCGATTCTATTTGTGTACGCATATCCATAGAATAAGATGATGAATAATTCAACGTAAAGAATTGAACGCTTAGACTAATGTAGTTACAACCATTGAGTTTCGAACAATAACAGTTCAAGTCTTCTCAGTGTTCAAGCGTTTATAATAAAAAAAAAATTGTTGTTATTTTCCATCTTTTGTTTCGTACATTTATTCCGTTGCTCTTCAAACACTTCAAAGTCACTGTACCTTTCTTTTATTTTGCCCCTCAATTTTTTTCCTCTCGTTCATTCCTTTTTAACGAATAACAAAAAAATAATAATAAGTGATTTTTAAACATTTCTACCTCAAATACAAGACAGACACGAAAACTCTATATAGAAAGGCTGCAAAAGAAATTATAATAATAATGAATATGATATTGAAGAAACAACCGCAAGGTGATTCGCTCTGTTTCACACACATAAATGGTGGTGTCCCCATACGGACAAGTTACGAAATAACTGCAAAACCATTTGTTCATATACTTGCATGCGCAAACCATAGATCGATTGTGTTTTACGTGCATTTTTTATGACAATGTATTTCTCACGGTTGCTGATTTTCTGGTTAGTCTCCGTAATTCGTAAATAAATCGGTCGGTCGACTGCTCAACACATGTTTGAGTGAGCGTTCTGCTTTATGCATCACAACATATGTAGATCGGCCACGTATTTCGAATGGCGAGCAACCAAACACGTTTACGAATAAGGAGTACTTTGTCACATAAAATTTAAATGGAAAATCATCAATATCGCAGCTTAGTGCGTTATTCATGATTGATACACAAACATTTTTGGAGAAAAAAAAGACCCACGAGGAGTCAGTTCGGTCACAACTTATTTTTGCTTTTGTATGAATTGAATTGCCCTACGATAACAACATACAAACAAAATTATAGAGTGTTACAAAGTATATTCAGCATGCGGGCTAAAATATTAGGAATAGAAGATCGAGAATGAATTTGAATAAAAACAGTGAAAAAAACCATGCCAATGCACTTTATGACGAATCTATACGAGTAAAAATAGAGTACCGATGAGTATGAAAAGTCAGGCAGTCATCAATCAAATTAAACGTGGGTGTTACAACCGAGACGAGGCAAACGTACGAAAAAAAAGAGAATTGAAATGAAAAATACGCATTTTTAAAAAGACATTGATGCAATAAACATGTGTCTTTCATGTCAAAATATCGATGTCAGACATCTCTTATAGATTCTTTCGTTCTTTTTCTCTGTCCTTCCATTTTAATTTCCAATGCAATTCGCGTCTACTTATCAATCTGCACGGTTTACATTTTGGATTCGTTTGTCTTGACTTTTCTCAATGCAAATGAAAATATCTATTCGATACAATATATTGTCTGTTATAAATGTCCTCTTTTCTCAGCTATTGTATTCCATAAAATGATTCAAATGTGTACAGTGTGCCATATTTATTTCAAAAATCAACTTGTATAAATACAATGTGCCGATAACATGTTTATTCATTTAAATACGAAACTATCGAAAGATGCAAACATACAGTTACTACAATACGATTGAGACGTTTGAATCTAATGAATCATTTCGCTGGAAATTGATATTCAGGGATTAGATATTAGAACTCTTTTTTTTAGCAAAACCACCGATGGATATTGAAAATGCCTGTTTATACATCTCTTTACATTGTGTACTGAGTTTGCATCTATTCATTTGACGAAGCTTCCATTTTATCCAAGCTCAAGATTTTTTCATTTGATTCGAAATAAGAATATGTCTGTCAGAAATTATAGCGCTGAGCAGATGGCACAATAATGTTCTCATTACCCAAATTTTAAACATTGGTGTCCACAGATTTGCGTAAAAAACAGTACGAATTAATTATTTCACAATATAGTTTTCACTTTTTTCGTAAATATTTCGATAATTTACAACATACAACAATTTAAAATTAACTACTATTTTTTGAATGTTTGAATTTTTAGTTTTAACAGCTTTTTTTCATTCACCCTCTTGTAAAGATTCTTGAAATCAGATGAAAGTGCATTTATTTCAACATTAATTGTAAAATTAATGACAGGAGATGAACATTTGTCTTTAGTTGATTTTTTTTATTTTGAAAAATGTGTAAAATGGTTTTCAATTCCAAGTGCTTCATTCACAAAAATTATTCTACATGTCCCCAAAACCTAGTAGTATACAATGCAGGTAAATTTATAAGTTTTTGGCAAATACCAGCCAAACTGATACGTATCCGTGTCTAAGGTTCGACAAATGGATCTGTTTGGTGTGACAGATGTTTTCATTTATGCCAGCGAGTATGGATAAAAAATTGCAATTTTTATTATTTTTAAATATCTGTCGCATTATACCGGTCCATCTGTAGATCTACAAATACGAATATATATCCGTACGGTTTGAGTGAATGAGTCCGCGAATACGGATTCATCAACAGATGAATGGATACATATGGGTTTAGCTATTTCTATGGTACAAAGCAAATTCATGCAAATAACATATCTTTTTATATCCGCTAACATTTTATTGGCATCCCCCATGCTAATGATGAAATTCGATTGAAAACACAAAAGATCTTTTTAGGAAATCAAAAGACACAAAACGTTTTCCAAACGTACGTGATCTCATTTTTGCAAAAATATTTCATTTGTTTTGTACAAATTAATTTTAGATAATATTATTGTGTATGTGTGTGTGTGCGTGTGCAATTTATATTCTTTTAACACAAGCATACAAACATTATAAATCTAGTTTGATATAAAAGATGCAAAAATTAGTAAGTGAAATTCTATATATATGCTCAATGTTTTGAAGGTCAAATTCTCTCGATTGGAGCTTATCCTGTTCTTGAATGTTGCTGAACCAAAAAATCTAAATAAATAGTGAATAAAGTGTAAAAAAAAGTTCGTCTATTCAATGGATATTTTTAATTAATCGAATAGAAATGTGTTCGAAGGATTTCAAAAAAAATTATGATCACTCTGTATAAATAAAAAGAAAATGAATGTCCAATGAAAATGAATAACACACACCCAACAGTGATCCGAAACCAAATGATTAATTCTATTTCCACATGAATTGCTTTTACTGTAATATACGTATATATTTATTGTGTCGTTTTAACATGAGAAAATATAGTTAAATTATTGTTGATATGCATAATATTTGTTCCAGATTATTCTATATACTGAGAGATGATAGTTGAAGATATTTTACCATCATTTAAAAGAATCTGAAAATCATTTGACAACAAAATGTAAAACCGTTTCATTGTCCAAGCCCCAGAACATAACCAAATGACAAATTTTCATTTAAAAAAAATGTGACAATCGCAATACATACAATATATGCCGATAGTATAATAACAAATTCCTCTCTTTTTAACTCCCTATCTTGATATAAAATTATGAATGACACTGCTTCATGGACATTGCAATCGATTTGTTTTCATTTTCATAGGTCAATGAAATTATTGTATGTAGGATTTTACTTTGAAATTATTTGATATTGTATACAAAATCAATGATTCTGTGTGTTCGCATTGCGCAAACTGAATTCGAGCTTACTTGTTAATATTTCGTTTGTTTTGTTTCAAATTTGAAGAAGAAGAAGAAGAAATGCGCAAATAATCTTGTAAGTGTTGTTTAGACTTATGCATTTAGTATGTAAGTGAGAGAAAAACAAAAAATGAGTGCAAAAAAAAACCTGAAACGCGGTAATATTTGACATTTTCGGTCTGACAATTTGATGTACACAAGCTAGAATGGTAGGACATTGATCGAATTTGTATAATGTAAATAATAATAATTTAGAAGCAAACAAATCATGTTTTAGATGTGAAGGTTTCCCTCCACAAACAGACAAATAAAAGTTCTTACCTCAGCCGACCAACTCAAAAAAAAAATCAACAAAAAGAAGAGAAAAAACCCTGCATGTAGGATCTTATGCATTTGTACCGTTTAAGCAAATCAATTATATATTTTCTATGTGTAAACCAAATAAAGTCTATTTTGGCGTTCAGATTTCCTTTTTTTTACTATTTTAGCCAATGTGTACAAAAAAAGACACAATTTCAATTCATTTTCTTCGTGATGGTAAGTAATTAATTTTATTTTTATTTCAAAACATCATTTTTTTATTATTATTAAAAAGTTCCGGATGAATATCGGTTTGAGAGTTATATTTATGTGATTTGAGATGGTGCAAAAATGGTATATAAATGCTTTCAAAAAATATATTGTGCTTATTCTCCGGTCATCATTTCCATGAATTCTGCAAAAAAAAAAATGGTAAAAAAAGATAAAGTGGAACGGAAAAAAATGATAATACCAATAAACTTACCATCAAAGTCGACGGTGCCTGAGCCATCTGAGTCGATTTCTTCAATCATACCGTCCAATTCATGGTCTGTCAATTGATCGTCCAATTCACGCAAGATTTCCTTCAAGCATGTGGTTGGAATGAAACCGTTACCGTCTTTGTCATACAAACGGAAAGCTTCTTTCAATTCCTTTTGCATTGCTTCAGCATCTTCTTCGACGATGAATTTGGCAGCGAGCTGAACGAATTCAACAAATTCCAAACGGCCCGATTCTAATGACGCGACAAATCGATCGAATTAAAATTGAGAATGAAAATATTTTCAACGCTTAAACAGTACTTACTGTCTTCATCGACTTCTTCGATAAGTTCTTCCAAGATTTTCTTGTCGAATGGTTGTCCCATAAGACGCAAGATGTCTGAAACCAATTCAGTTGAAATACTTCCAGTTTTTTGGGAGTCGAAGCTGTTGAATGCCTTTTGAAGAACTACAAAACGAAAGAAAAAATATATATAAATAATTATTTTCAAAGCGATCAAACAAAAAATCAAAAAATATGGACACAAGTCATGTAAAATGAGTGAGTTATTGGCGCAATGCCCAAACTGTAAGAATCGTAGCATGTAATAACGAAACCTATTTCAGATCGCATTTGTTGATTGTATTCATGCCATACTGTCTACCTAATCGACCATACAAAACATTGTTTATTTTCCTTTGCAATCTATCTAAATTACTTATGTCCCGTCGTTTACTGTTGTTTTTTTATTGCAAATTCACCGATTTTCAGTTAATTTGTTTCAACACGAACTGCATACAACTATTTTTGTTGGGGGCAATAATCTCTCATCCTCATTAAACTGTCATATGTTGAATGTTTATAGTAATTAGTATTTTGAGGATTTGGCAATTTTTTTATTGTTATTTTTGGCAATTCACAGAAGTGTCAGCCACTTCAGATCATTGAGATCAATATTTCAACAAAAAAAAACAGAGAAAAGAAATACATTCAGTTTGGAAAACATGAACAAAATGAACGAAGGAAATTATTTTGCATGATACACGAAGTGATTTAATTTTTCTACGAAATATGTTTCTTTGAAGAGTTGCAAAAAAAGCGTCGTCATTGAAAATTGGAATGGTCTGTATTTTCATCACTAGGTATTTCTGTGCCACTCCTAAAAATAATCGTTCAAGAGCGAAACGATCGCGAAATGTTTGGCTGTTTTTCTTTCTTGGCTTATCATACATTGGTGGTGTTTTTTGGTTCATAAATGTGGGCAGAATAGCTATAGATATGCTTGGAAATTTTGTTTATACTGCATACACAACATTGAGCTCTCATTACATACACATCTATGCTGATATAGATGAGAAAATTGCAGTGCATGCGTTTACACAAAATATAATTTAATTCGATGTTGTTCCAAAAATAACCGACATGATCACGTTTACCGAATGATATAAATATGAATCACTATGATTTTTTAGCATTCGAATATGCAATACAAAGTATGTATCCCAGGCGAAAATCTATGAGAATAGTACACATTTTCCAGTTTTATTGCGATTCATTTACACATAAATTTATACGTATTCGTACTGTTTGAACATGGTTTTCGTTTCAATTCAGTTAAATTCCAACACTCACCGGCAATCTGTTCTGGTGTCAAGTCTTCATCCTTTGATCAATATGAAAATTGAGAAAGAAATAAAGACAAATTAGATTCTGGTATGTAAACATGATTTGAATTCGGTTAAACTTGTTTATTCAACAAAAATGATGTCGATGTTATTTTGATACAAATAGTTCACACTTGTTCTTTAGATTTACAATTTAGTCACAATTTTGGTAACATTCCAAAGTCAAGATATGACAAAAAACCAGATATGACACACATTTTTCACAGTAACGCCATTTATTTTATACTTACAATTTGATCCATTTTGATTTAGTTGATTTTTTCTTGAGTGTACGTACTGAAATACAAGATTTTTTAATGAAAAAAGAAAAAAAAACTCGTGAAAAAAGAGAATTGATTTTTTTTTTTCGAACGAAGGGAAAATTAATTTCTCTTTTATTCAAATTTCCAGTCGATGAAGCGCAAAAAAAGTCGAATGAAAAATTTACCGAATTGTTCTGACCACTATTTCGGGCAGCGATCTTCGCTCAACTGACTGATTTTGTCGTAGCGTTAACGATCACATAACGTTCATTTAGTGAGTTGTTTTTGTTATTGCTACTGCTAGATTTTCTCCTTGCGTCGTCATCATTTTTAGTGTGCGGCGTGAAATAAAAAACACCAAAAATTATAGCTGTTTTCCACATGATCTATGAAATGCTTAAAATTTCTATATTTTTCCTTCTTCACATTGTATTTCTCCGTTTGACTCGCGAACGATGTACAAGCGTTTCATAATGCAAACAGCTATAATGTTTTGAAATACGCGCACGAAATTCATGCTGTTGCGATTAATTTTTTCTCTGTCCTACTCGATCGTTTATGGATTTTTGTCGGATGTTAATGTGTTGCGCATTTCGACCAAAAATAAAATCCAGAATCAGAGCACCTCATCGTATGCTTCACTATGGAACTCACATCGGACAGATCTTGAGTATACCGCTCTCACATGAGTCTCTCTGTCTTTTTCTTTCTTTTTTGCTCGTTCAAACGATTCACTTTCTAGCAAGTTGGCTTATTTTGATATTTATATAGATTTTATAGTCGTTTGGCCCTCCTTCATTTTATTTTTCTCGAAACACAATTGGCCAAATCAAACGAATCGGATCGATCTATAGATAACATTGAATGGAAAATTTGTTTTCTACTGTCAGATCAAAAAAAAAAAAAACAACAACATAAAAACACAGTTTTTGAATTGAAATTGAAATAAAACTTGTTTGTCCACTGAACGTTTATTCGTTGATTTTTCGTCATTTATATACATTTAGTAATAGTTAATATTAATCCTACTAACCACTATCAATTGATAAGCAATACAGAAATCAAAGACTCTATTTAGTTAATCGTGGTTCCTGTTTCACTTATTCATTAATTGGTTGTCAATAAAATCAGTATAATGCTAAAATGTCAATGTTTCTTTAAAATCATTTTTTAAACAGATTTTTGTTTTTGTAATTTTAAAATTTTCTTAGTTAAATAAACCATTCAAAACATTGTTGTGGACAACAATTCGTTTGATATTGAATTAATATTATTTCATGTAAATCTCTTTTTTTGTTTGTTAAATTTTTTGGTTTTTAGAATACATCTGTTTCATACTTCATTAAAACGCCAAGAGCAAAATAGAAAAAGAAAACAAGAGAAGTAAATTATTTGTTTACCATATACTAAAATGTATAATAAAATTATTTTTTTCTTTGTTTTTTTTTTTGTTTAAATGAATAAATATATAGTTTTATCGAGAACAACGAAGATTTTATCATTCACTTTGTATTTCAATAAGTTACAACGAAAAAGAGGACAGACACATGAGGATTGTCAAGCAAATTTTTTATGTTTACGTTTTTTTTTCTCCATACTATGCGTCATAGCATTTCATAAAATTTTTTTGTTTCGCTTTAAATTAATTTTACAAAAATGTTGGTGATTGTGACCTAATGTTAAAAATCATTTTAATTTACGTTTTTTGAATTTGTTCCTGTGAAAGTGCTACTTTAACGGCTCGATTTTGGCTTTAAAAGATGCTAATGGCACAAAAGCAGGTTGAACATTAACATTTTTTTTATATTCATTAGAAACTAAGGGGCCCATTGGTCATTGCTTATTGCCGATTTGGTGAATCTGGCATTTTTTTTAAATTAAAATTAAAACGAAAGCTTTAACAGATTAAATAGTATATGTTTATACAATTGCAATTAACCTTCGTTTCTTCACTATAAGGCCAATTTAAGTGTCAGTTGATTTAATAAATGATGACCAAGATTTGATCGATACATGCTTATTATATCTATTTGGTGGTTAGTTATATCCGAAAGCAAAAAAAAAAAATGTTTTGAAAATTATACATTATTTTGAGATATTTTTAGGCAACTGAATCAGAACAAGGAGCTAACGTTAGACGCTGAAACGGAGTGAAAACAATTGAAGTGATTTTTTATAGCGATTTCAGCAATATTATTGTTTTCACTCCATTTCAACGCCTGAGGCTAGTTCCCTGAGCTGAATCAGCTGTCTGAAAATATCTCAATATAGTGTCTGCTGTTTTCGGTAAAAGTTAACAGTTTCAATTTTTCTCTGACTAGCCTGAAGATACTATTCAAACCGATCACTTTTTTTATTCTTTTCTAAGCGCCAAAGTTTGTGTCTTATAAATTATTGCTTGTAGACTCTTAGATTGCATAATTTTTGTTATTTTTTTATTCAAAGTCGGTTTGGTCTCTCAATCTTTAGCATAGTTTTTTTTATGTGAGGTGTGATAAATGTTTATAGAGGATATCTCAATGTGATCGATAAAATGTATAAAGAAACACTTCACAAAAAAAGAAACGATTTTACTTCTTGAATTTTGTTGTTATGTTAGTTTTAATTTTGGACCAAAAGAAGGGTGCTAGAAAACTATAATATTACATTCAGTTGCGTCGCAGGGTTTTTTTAAATTTTAAACGTTCATTATTTATTTATATATTCGTAATTTTAGAACAAAAATCAATAAATATTCATTTGTGACAATGAAACGATGGCAAAAAATGAAAATGAATTGATCGACCCAATTGTCGTAAACCATTTTGAAATATGGTTATGGTCCTGGTGTCACACGGCAACAATCATCTTAATTTTATTGCATTCATGCGAACATTAAAAAAATACACTGAAACTACACTGAAATGGTACATTAATTAATTCTACCGTGAACATATGGGCAATGTATTTGCATTAACAGTTGTTTTTTTTTGTTTCAACAATATATACATAGTGAATCAAAGGGAACGTAGTTTTGTGCTTCTACAAGTTAAATGGAATCAAACAAGGAAAAAGCCTTTCTTTGACGTTCTAAGATTATGAATGAAAAACATGAACAAAGAACATATATATTTTTCGATAAAAGATAAATTTGATTGATTAAATTTCCGATGAATAAATATGATTTCTCGTTTAAAAATATGAATCAGCTCAGCCAGATATCGTCAGGAGCTTAAATTGAGTGAAAACAATAGAAGTGATGGTTATAATAACAATTACTTTTATTGTTTTCATTTCATTTCAGCTCCTGACGATATCTAGCTGAGCTGATCCATCTGGCTGAAAATATCCCAATATAATGTCTGGTTTATATCAATCTTAAAAATAGGATAAAGTGAAATTTTGTGTTTTGGTTGTATTTTCTGTTGTTATTGCTATGTAACTTTTTTAAGGCTTGAATTTCTACTAACTGTACAAAAAATGCTCATACAATGTTCAGCGCTTCAATGTTTAATATTCGAAGTGCATAGTATTTGGTTTCGATTTTTTTTTTTTGGTTTTGCAAAGAACATTGAGAAGTGCTACAATTACTCAACGTGTCGTGCGTTTAATACATAATAACATATCTATCGTGTGTATGAGTGTGAATGTATGTGTGTATGTGTTTTATTGTTTATCCTCCATTTAAACTTGAATTTTCATTTATTCGATCTTCAATCACAGTTTCAAACTCTATAATGTGAAGAAGAGCCAGCTAATTCATTATTTTATAGATATTTTCAAATAAAATTTATATACAGTTAAATTATTTTTGATTTTTTTAAAACTTTTTTCCCTTCACTTTCGTTCATTCGTATAAATTTAAATGTTAAAAAAGATGGTTCCAATGTTTAAATTTGATTATTACAACACACCAATGTTAAAAGCGATTTTATTAAATTTTGAATTGCTTATGAATAAGAAGAAAATAGATCCCTGTGCTTCTACTATTTGAAAGCAAACATTGAAAAAGCATTTGTTTTTTTTTTTCAATCTCAAAGTATAAATGAAAAATATTTGATCAATAAAAGATTGGTCGATTAAACTTCCGATGAATATTAAGCTTTTTCACACTAAAATACAAATAAATAAATTAGAACTCTCTGAAACTGGACTTTTTTCTTGTTTTACTAAATACTAATGTTTTTAAAAAAACGTTAAAATAGAATTTTTGTTGTATTCAAAATTCAATTTTGCTGTTTTTTCTGCAATAATAATTCAGTCTTTTATCTAAAATAGAAATTAGATTAAAATTCAAAGTAAATTGAAAACTAAAAGCGACGAAGAATATTTTCATTGAGATGATGCAAAAAACGTTATATTTTATCTTAAAATAACCCTCGCTAATATTGCACTGATCAAATTTTGTCATAATTCGTTTGAATTCGCTGTCGTTCACTGTTCATTTTGTCTCTAGTTGCTGTTTACTTCGTCAAGATAAGCGTCGGTTCGCGCTTCTTTCGTCCGAATGAAGTGACCTTGGCTTGCGTTTAAACTAAGCGATCGTGTCGTTTTTGTTGCATGAATAACATTCGGTGGAGAATATGATTCCGTGGATTTTGATTGTGTTGCTACCGAATCTACGTCGATATCGTTGCTTTTGTTGTTCAGTTTTACCGTTTGTGTCAAATTGTCAGAATCTGGTATTGAATCGTCGATGTCATCATCGTCTGTACAGCTATGCGATGATATGCAATCGTGTTGATTTCGCGCTCTAGCTCGAAGCGAATGCTGCAATCTTCGCAGAAACCTGACGAAAAACGCAATCAAGAAAAAAATATGTCGAATGCCAATTTAAACAACCAATCGTGATTTACCTTATTTGATTTCCAATCGCACGCAAGCGATTTATTTTTCGGCATGGTCTTGCTACAGGTGGTACCTCATGTTGCATCGTTTTCGTCGCATCCTTTGGAAAATGGCGAAATGAATATGTAAACAGAAGTTAATTTATAGCATATATAATTTGTCTTGAATCATGTCACACAGACGTACAAACAGATCCTTGATAAATATTTACAAAAATTCTACTACGATGTATGTTTGCAATTTTGGAATACGAAAAAAAATCGGTCCTTGTAATAAATATACATCGAATTTTTACAAATGGGATTTTTATCTTCAATTACACTGACATGCGATAAAATCAATATGAATGACTTTAAACAAACAAACCAAAAAAGGAACAGAAAAGGTTGTTTTGAATATTAAATGATATTGTAATTTCATTTAATTGATATATCACTTAATATTCATTTCAAATACAAAACAATTACAATAATAAAAACATCAAAGGCGATTTAATTTTACTACAACACAAAAAATAATGTCAATACCAAATACCTTTTCAATATCATTTTCAGTGCGTTTCAAAGACTTTCCCTTTAAATAAAGTCCGAATCGGGCTAGATACATCAAATAACAAATAAGTTTTCGTTTAATTTTGATAAATCGTGCTAATTTTCCGTTTGTTTTTTTTTTTTTAAATCAAAATTGTGTGTGATTTGTTATTCATTTTCTTTTATATGCTCGAATTGATGAAGCATTCTGCGTGTGTGATTCGATTTCATTACCTTTCGTATCGGTTAAACTCTCGGATGACGAGGAACTACTGACCATTGTATATCGTTTTAATGGTCGTTTCTTTGGGCTTTTACGAACTTGAAACATTTGCATCGATTGCTGGCTTGGATTGCTCATAGTAGTCGTTTCTCTTTGCAAGAAATCGGTTGAATTGGCTTTGGTCGGCGATAGAGCTATTGGAACTGAAATCGCATTTTTTTTACTTTGGGTATAATGTGCGAATAAGAACAAAATGATACAAACCTCCTCTAGATAATTTTCTCTCTCGTTTGCGCATATTACTCTTTTTACAGAGTGCGTTTGAATGTCCTTTACCATCGGATGATGGAAAATCGTATAAGCCATCAGAATCGGTGAACGGAAGAATTTGTTGTTCCTTTCGATTGTAGAAAAGTGGTGAAAATCGATTGGCTCCCGTTCTTTCACTGTGTGTATGCAAAGGCAATGCTAGTTAAACAGAATGAAAAAAATGTTTAATTGGCTTTAATTTAACTGACCTTATTGGGCTCTCTGAACGTGATGAGACCGGTGATACTTTATCGTTTCCTTCGCTCTGAATAACAATTGTTGGCAGTTGCAGTTGTGACATGGTTGGCTCTTCGAACATAATTTTTTTTCCAGAGTCCAGTAATTCTTTTTCAATAAAATGTTCGAGTTCTTTGGCATTTACTGCTTCGCTTGCGTCATGTTTTTCTTCGATATGATCGGTTCCAATTCCTTCATCGTTTGACTCGAGCAATACATCATCAGAAAGTGTTTCTGAATCGGATCGAGTTTTATTGCGACCATATTGATCAGCTGCACCGCTTCCACTTGAGCAATTACCATACGAACTATCACCAGATTTACCATTTTGCATTGAATTTGATCGCATCTTTCGAAATTTTGTATTCGATCCAGATGATCCATCATCCATATCTAGATGTAATGGATTACTTGAGCTATTACATCGGCTACCAGCTGGTGATGCCATCGACGAATAGCCCGATGATGATAGATTACTTTCCGATATTGTTCGATCACCTCGGCTAACTGATGAAAATGGGCTTAAGTAGCACATATCATTGCGTGGCAAACCCAATTGGGTGGGACATTTTATATTTGCCGGCGACATTGTGTCTGTATCAGATTCCATTTCCGTCATAATTGCATTTATTGTTATTGTCGGTGGACTAAAGGGAAGCTCAAACGTTGCGGGTGGTTTGTTTACGTTGAACGTTGGTCTTTAAAAATCGTTAGAGAATCAAATCTTCACTTCTTACGAACACAAACACAACACATTTGCGTACAACAATCAAATTGAAAACGATAAAAAAATTTAAAAAAAATGAAATGTAATGAAATAAAAAATCAAAATTAACAAAAGTGTACCAGCCGACGCTGTAGCATTTCATCGATGGAAAACCATTCCAATTGTCAACTTGATGCCATCAATAGTTTTCTCTATGAGTTACACCTATTTCATATTGCGATCTTAAGTTGGTAAAAGAAGACATTAGAAAAATGCGTCTTTAAAAGTTCAATTTTTTCGAAGAAGTACTTTCAAATCTCTTTTTCAAGTTGATGGTAATCTGTTTTGAACACTAGTCAGAAGCAATGATTACATCTCATTCAATGGATAGATTTATATGAACACACAAAGAAAACAATATAAATTTTTGTACAGCGTGGTGTCTAAATTTTGGATTTTTAGATGCAGTACTGTATAAATCCAAATTCTAGATGTCAAAAAATGTATATCGTTTTCTTTGTGTGTGAATATCAAGAAGAATGCATCAAATGAAAATCTATCGAAGAGCAAAGACAATGCATCAATATTAAGGTTGAGTGAAATGGACAGTGTTTCCATCAAAACATATGAGCAGCTACAGCTCCAGACGGTACTTGAAATTTCTAATTTCGATTTGGTAGTGTTTACTCATCTACGGTTTAGCAAAGTATAAAACGGAAAATTTACATGTTTTGTGTTGATTGATCCGGACTTTCGCTGGTCACAAATATTTGTATATCGGATGGATTGGCTCGTTGAGGTGGCGGTGAACCGAGCAATTTCACCGATATGCGATGCTCTTTGGTTGGGCTTGCTTGTTGAACAACCAGCTGGGGTATGATTAAATTTTTCGGTCGATTCGGTGATTTTGGTGACCTTTGTTCAGGCGTTGGTGGCTCAATGTCAATCAATATATTTGTATCTAAAGTGACTGTCGGTCGTTTTGGAATTGGTCTTAATAACGGTGGTGTATGTTTATTTGGTATAGGTACATCAGCGGTACAAGCATTTCTCTCATTCACAATGACTTTCATGAAACCACGATTCTAAATATTTGAGAAAAAAAAAACATGAAAAATCCATTTGATAAATGGGTATTGAATTCACGCTTACCTCGATGTGTTCAACCGAAAGTTTTTCATCGTCATCACTAAAATTATTGGAAAAATGTTGATCATTATGCAAAAATCCGGAAAATCTTTGTGGTCGTGACATGATTGGCGTGAGAGCTGGTGATGGAATGGGCGTCGGCAGTTCACGAATTGGTGAGAGGCATTTATTTGTGTTTGAACTTGGTACTTCGAGCAAAATAGTTGGCGGATTCAATGAATTATTGTTTGCATTGTTTGTTGTTGATTTATGAGCATTTAATGGATCTAAGACGGGAACTTCAATTGAAATTGAATTGCTTGGCAAATGATACGAAATTGGTGAATCGGGTGCACAGCTCGTGTAGCTAATTGGTGTGTGCATCGAACTAGTCGATGATGAATCATCGTTAATGTCTTGTGGACTAGAGGCTGATGGTGTTGTCGATGGTGATATAATTAATGATGAAGGCATTTGAGACAATACATTTGTTGATGTGAAATTTCTAAACATTGCCAAAATAGAATCCGCACTCGACACCTTTGGTTTAATACGCCTCATATTACGTAATCCGACATCGTTTATCGTCAATTCGGAACCAGACAATGATTCACTTCCTTGATTCGAACATGATCCATGTGGTGAGCGTGAATCATTTGCACTTGGTGTTGGCGGCACAGAACTTGGACGCGGAATCAATTCAGTGGACGATCCTACAGGCAAATTGAGTGCTTTCAAATTCGATGTACTCTGCGATTCAAACAACAAAAGTGGGGTGAAAAAAATAACAAACATTTTCGTGTCATTAAATTATTTCAACATTCAATTACTGTATTGATACTCGGATTTCTATAAAAGCGTCCGATATGTCAAATACAAGGAACAAAACTCAACGAAACAAAACATATATATTTATAGAGAGTAAGACGATCGATTGTTGTTCGATCAGTGAGCTATAAATGACATAAGCTAATACATTGACTTCGATATTAACCTCCGAACTAAGTTCAGCTGATACCCTACTTAAAAGACGAGCAAAGGTGACTCTTTTCTCGTTCTTTGCATCTGCGACAGAAATGGTTTGACGTTTAGCCGTTGATGCTTCGTCAAAGTGCCAAACTTCTGTGCCATCTGAATTTAACAATCCATCAGCATATCTTTGAGAACGTTGTTCGTATAGCATGGCTAAGTCATCCAAGCTCATCTAAATAAAATATTATGCTCACACATTGATTGACATATATATATATATATATATTTGTTGATATTGTTGTTGTTTTTTGTTATGTTCAAAATTGTTCGATCAAAATAACAAACTTACAAAAATGATGAGAATCAAAAATAAATGTGTCAAGAGAACATTGTGCGAACGACTGTGTTCAAATTCATGTGCAATTACCTTCGGTCGATTGCTTGTATCAATGGTTGCGGGCGCGATAAGCGTTTCAAGTATAAGTCGCTTTTCATTGGCAGCTCGTGTTTTTGTTGGCGTTGAATTATTTCTCTTTTTTCGCGCCGGCGATGGTGTGCCTAAATTTACATTAACATACATTCATAATGAAATTAGTTTTTTTTTTCTTTCAAAAATATTGTTTTTAACAAAAGAAAAAAAAACAATTGTTTTCTGCAAATAAATCATTACGAACTTTGAACTTTAACACAATATCAATTTTTTTCGAATATAAATATAAATATTTATTCAATTTAAATAATAAAACAAAAGTATTGAGATCAATCAAAACCAAGAGAAAACAAAACTGAATACTTTTTTTTTTGTTTTGAAACTCTACAAAAAATTGCATTACTGAAAGGATTGATATCCAATTTTGAAAAATTTCGAAAAACAAATAACGAAAGGATTGATGCCAAGCAGAAAGGATGCAAAAGTTGAAGGTAAACATGCAGTATATATATAAATGTCCTGTTCATTCCAAGCAAACGCTCACAAGAGACACAACAAATAACGAAACTGAAAGAAATACGGAAATGAACAGAGAAAGAGAAAAAAAATTGCAAGAAACAAAAAAATTAACAACACATTGAAACACTTGAACATGCAAAGCAAAATAGAGGAAATGTTTGCAGTTGTCATTACTGGATAATTACGTTTTGTCTTTGGCATATGGTTAAAGGGTAAGTGAGTTTCATACATTTTTTTTATATATTTACACAGTGAATACACAATTTTAAAAATAGGGTATTGTTAGCACAGGAAAAAAGAAAGAAAGAAAAAAAGAAAAAAAAATATAGATTAACATTTAATTTGGTGCATTTTTGCCTACCAGCAGCCACTTAGTTTTTTTTTTGTTTTATAAGTACAGACAGGAAGTTTTTCTTGAATTGTTTTTTTTTTTGTCAAGGTCCAATGAAAGAAAATATATGCTCAATTTAGAACTTAACATAAAAAAATGGACTGTAAAAAATGATAAAGAAAATGCATTTGTTTTATTTATACAAGATGAAATAATGTCGGGTTTATATTTACATGAGCGAGCGCTAATGCTTTATATTTCTTCGGTTGGTATGTATAAGATTTTTGATGGTCTTCAACGAAATTGACAAAACAAAAAATCGGAATAAAGTTTTTTTTGATGAAATCTTATGAAGAACCGAAAATTAAATAAATGAAAATTTTGAATAAAAACAATAATAATAAAATGAAAATCGTTATTTTAAGCCAGATTCGATGATTTATGGCTAAAGCAGCGTTTAATTTTTATTGTAGCAGACGATGACGTCAAAATACGTTTCATTTATTATACTTGCTGTAGATGGTGTTTTTTTTTGTTTTGCTTACATCGATGAACTAAATTTTCCTCTGTACTTGTTCTTCATTTATCATTTTTCATTGAAATTCAAAATGGTCTGTTGGCAATTTAAAATTTTGATAGGTTGCGATTTAATTAAATTGGCTGGTGTGAGTAGTGAGCGAAAACTTAAGAAGAAAGACAAAAGAATCCTATGATTGAAATAAACTCAACGGTGGGAAATGTTTTTGTTAAGAAGAATTGTTTTTTTTTTTTTTTTTTTTTTTTGAAAAGAAGAAGATTCAAAGCGAAACATTGTTAAAATATAAAATACGGAACAAAATGAAAATCTAGATCAATCATCAGTACCATGTAAAAGAGTACAAAATATTGAGAATAAAGCTAATGTTATCTTAATGGTATTTTATTAGCATAAAAAAGTGGAATTGATTCATGTTTTTTTATTTGTTGGCACACTAATTTCAAAGCAGTTAAAAGGTTAAAAGTAAATTTATTGGTGCAAGATTTGGTAATTTAGAAATTCGATGTGGTGTAGAATTGAAAAAAAAAAACAATGTTTGGTGTTTATATATGTGTGTGTGTGAGAGAGAGAGAAAGAGAGAGCTTTTATAAAAACACACTTGAGAAAATTAGTTTCTATTTGGAAATAAAAGATAGAATAGCAAGAAATTGAGCAAGATTATATTGAGAGGTCAAGCATTTGCTAAAAAAATTAGAACACTCGTTTGCTGCTAAAAAAAAGGTTTCAATTTTGACGGTGTCAATAAAATGAAACCACAAAAATGTAAAACAAAAATTGAAATATACCAAAGAAGAACCAATAAGATTTCAATTCCGGACATCGAAAATTTTGAAATGGAACAAAGATAAAAAAATTACAGAGATTTAAATATATAATGTGAAAAATGCATATAAAACACAAGAACAATAAAAAGAAATCGAAGAAAAATAATTGTTTGAGAAACAAAATGCAGAGATTGAATTTTTTTTTTGGTTTTTATGATTCAGAAGTGAACGAAAGAAAAAAAGAGTGCGCTGAGAAACAACATCTAAATGTAATTGATTTGAACAGAAATCATATCAATAGAAAAGAAGATAGAAAAACAAATTGCATGATGAATTATGAAAAAAGTTAATGCCGATAAAAATGAGGACAAGGAAAATTAAAACGAAAAATCGAAAAAAAAGTTCTTGCCCATAAATAAGATAAACAAGTGAAATTAATTATTTCCCTTCACTTCAAATGAAAGTGGCTATCGTCAAAGCACCATGAATCATTTATCATTTAAACAAGTCTTGTTCGCCACTCAAACTTGATGCTTTGACGATTGTTCGGTCTTATATGAACACTTTTGCGCTTTTATTCGTTTTTGAACTTTTACGATAAAAAAAAACACTTTCTGTTTATCTCATTTGAGCTGTAAAAGAATGAATTTGTTTGTTTTTTTGATTGTTTTTTTCTTTCGTCATTGGAATGACGGAAGCGTTTTCTGTCTGTCTTACGTCGTGCAGGAGGTCGCAATAGATCATCTAATGAAAATGTCCGAGCGGTTTCTCCTCCTGCATGTGCGTGTGCGTGTGGACTGCTGAGGCTCAAAATACTCGGTTTTCTTATACCCAATCTGCCAAATATCGTGCGCGCCGTTCCGGGTGTTGTTGCTGTTGATTGTGGTGCTGAATTTGTTATGTTAAAATGTAATTGCTCTCGCAACGAAGGATGATGATGATTGTGTAGATGATGTATTGAACCTGCTGCTTGATGATATGCAGAAAAGAGGAGAAGAGAGCAAGAGAAAAAGAGATGGAGAGAAAGCGAGCGAAAGAAATGAGACAAGAAGATATACAGACAAAAAAACATTGGAAATCCATTAAATAACCATTAATAAAATCTCTTCTCAAAATGATGATGATGATGGTGAAAGCAATGAACTTACGTCGATTTCGATCAGCTTCTTCAGCTAATAGTTTTTCAATTTTTTCGGGAAAATGTCGCTTTGCACACCATACCAATCCAATAAACGCTAATACCACAAAAACGGTAATCAAACCAAGCCAAAATGGTTCCTGTAGCATACGTTCCGACAACGGTTTATATGGAATGTGCATCATACGTCGTTCACATCTTGTACCTTCCCACCACGCATGGCAGCGGCATTGAAATTTACCATTCTTTTCAAAGCATTCACCACGACTCTCGCACGGATTATCCATACACGGTTTTTGCTTCTGATTGCAAGTTTGCCCCATGTAGCCTTGCAAACAATGGCACTGTTTAAACAGAATTAACGTAAAATAAATGTAAACAAAAAAAAATGCGAAAGGTGTTATTTTGCTGATAACAAGAGCATCTAGAAAATATATAACAAAGAGAATAGTGTGCACTAACTTTGAATGATGTTGACGTGAGTTCGCATTTTCCGAAAATGCACGGTTCCATTTCGCATATAGTTAATGCACAAAATCTGTGAATGCAAGAGAACAAGGCAAAAAAAACAGATGATAAACAAGCATTTCAATGTGAAAAATGCCATTATTTACCGTCCAGTAAAATGTCCAACACATTGACAACGATTTACACTGCCATTTGAAATGCATTTTCCATCGTTTTTACATGGGTTCGGATGGCATGCTTCAACCTCATCATTTCCTGTTGCTAGTTTATATTTATAATTGAAATCTAAAAATCATAAACACACATAAACCAAAAGTTATTAATATGTGATGTGATGATAACATTGAATAGAATGGTTTTGATTATTACCTGGTTGAATTCGGATGCTTGCATTTAAATTGAGATTAATTAGATCAGTCGTTTTTTGTCGTATATTTATTGTATTGAGATACGACGTTATGTGAATGGGTGATGGCAGTAGAACTGCATCTCCTCGATAATTATCATCTAATGCGGATAATTTGCATAGATTCCAGAATGATCCATTAATGTCGGCATAGTTATCGTAAATCTAAAATATCATATGAATTTAATTAATAGTTTATCCATACAATGCATGTGTAAAATGATTTGATTACGAACTTCGATTCTATTTGTGTCATGACAATCAGCTTCGCTAATTCCAACATTGTGCACTTCCAAAAGAATCACTTCGCCCAGCGGTGCGACAATATGTTGTGTAAAATCAATATTAGATGGTTGTGGTTGTGGATAATTTAAATGATACAAAACTCCATTCGCTTTATTCTGTAGTATGGTATGACGTTGCTCCCGGATACCCACTGATAAAACATTGTGGCAATTAAAAAAATAATGCACATAGGAATTCAAGATTGTTTTAAAAAAAAGATGGATATACTTACTGGTTTTGTATGCCAAATGGAAGCCAGTGCCTTTTGGCTTGTCGCCAGTTCGTAAATGGATCGTAACTCGATTTTGATAGCTCACAAAAACGCCATCATTCAATTGCTGTGTGTTTCTGAACGGCACAAATGGTCCCTTTCCCAAATCGATTTCGACAGTGGCGTCGCGAATCAGGTCAAATGATTGGAATTCAAGCCAAATTCTTTTATTATTTGCCGCAAAAATGACGTACTTGCAATCCAAGTGGTTCAGCAACACATTTGGAAAGTTCGGTGTTTTTATGTAATTCGCATCATCACTCGATGTATAAGTTTGTGTTGGACAACCGCTCATGCTAACTGCTTTCCATGCCAATGAAAAACCCGAACCAGATACAGAATAATCGCTGTGAAAATATATTAGAACCGTATTGGTGGCACTAATGAAATCAAAGCGAGACATATTCGATTCGTGTGTTCCGCACCATCGAACATATGGAAAAAATGATGGTTCAATTGCAATTCGCTTGAACACACTTGATTTTTTCATTTGAAGATTTGAATTTCGTTTTTTACGACGCACTTTGTTTTCATCGTTGGCGTCATCGCTGTCTCTGGCCGCTGCATCCATCATATACTCATCGGTTAAATAATTGCGATCATTATCCGGTGTAAGCATTGCCATTGATTTTGCCGTTAGCACCGACTCAAAATTACGTTCGTAGCTTTCATCATCTTCGATGCTTATATAATCGTAAAGGCAATCATTTTGTTCTTCTAAATCAATCTTTGAAAATTCTAACACCAAACGTGTATTTTCCGGTCCAATTAATTTCACATAGTAATTTGTATTTGCTGGATATAAATTTGGATAATCTGAAAGTGAAAAAGAAAATCGATAAACATCTTGGTTTTGGTCTATGCCAATTTAAAAAAAAAATTACTTGGTGATGTCAAAAGTCCTTCGGTGCCGGTAACGGTTTGATTTTCAAAGTTCACTTCGAGATTATCCTGACTTCGTCGTTTACACACATAACCGCCAAATTTCGTGCAGTGATCGGATGACCAAAATAATCCAGAGGGTAGCATCGGTGTGCTTGATACTTTCCATTGCAAACCGAGGCATAATGCCTCTTTTGACGTTTTCTCAGCGTGACGTTGACCTTGAATCCATCCCTTTTTGCGTGCATTTCAAAAAAGACACAATCAATAAAGATAGATAGATTTTTCAAACACAGATAAATCAATGCGGTACACTTGTATACCTTGTATGTTATGTTTGAACCGTCATTCCATTTCAAATGTTTATTCGATTCGAATTTTCCACCAAGCCAATATATCGTTTGCGGTGAATAATCCAATTCATTGCGAATGTTTGTGGTAATGAATCTTCAAGACAGACATAGAGGTAATGGATTAAAAAATACATTATCAAAATGCATCGTCCCACCCCCTTCAATCGAATTAAATAGGAGATTTTGGTATACCTTTGCTCTTCGGCTGTGCTTACTGAAGCTAATTCACCATGAATTCCCGCACACACTTGATGAGCAGTAAACCAATCCACTTCGGGATACGAAACGAATAAATAACAAGTACCATTGAATGATTTTAATCTATCGTCAGAGCACTTTGATGCGGCTAATGGAGTGCAAATGCAATGTTGATGTAAGTAATAAAGTCCATATATTTGTTATAATGGTTAATATTATGTGTCAAAAATCAAACGATTGATTTACCATTTTTGATAACCACTTTGGCTTTGTAACCGCCAAAATGGTGCGAGTAATCGGATGAAAAATGTAATCCAAGTATTGGTCCACTACTGCGATATCGAAGCAATTTTACCTAAAAACAAAGTCGTAAAAACATCAGACACATATTTTTCATAAAGATTATTTCAAATTTAAGAGAAATATGTTCACTAAATGCAAACATCTTTGAATTTGTTGTCTCACCTTTGAATTCCAATCGCCACAAATGCGACGTGGTGCATTTACATTCAGTGATTTATCAAAATTGATGCCCATTTCTGGTGTTTGAATCAAATAGCTGTGGTGGCTCTTATAGATGCTGAGAAAATTATCAAAAATATCCACATTTTTTATGAAATTTGTTTCATTGTGTTTCGCACCATTCTCAGTTCGTTGTGTATGATGTCGACCAATATCACTGATTCCAGATTTTGTATAACTGGCGTTCACAGTATAACCATTATGATCACTTGGATGTGAATCAATAATTTCCAGATAATCGTAAGAACACCTGTATGAAATAAATAAATATTATTGCATATCATCGTCGGCTGTCAACGTTCATTTCAATAAACCATGCATACTCACTGTGGTTCATTTTCTAGCACAAATTCTTCAAATTCAATGGCTATATAAAAACCTTTTGGTGCAATAATGACGGTAAAACAGTTTGTTTTGTCTGGATAATGTGTCGGAAAGCCCGGACTCCATATTGAAGCACGTAAATGATTGTGCGATAATATAATGGTTTTGTTACAGTCGGTTGACCATGACTTTTCGATTGGTTCTACAATGAGCCGAATAAAATTCACAAAATCATAAATCGATGATTTATCCGTTCAGCCGCCAGTTTTGTTGGCTACAAACATTCATTCATTTTCGACATTTTCAAACAAATGTTTGACTTTGTACATATCATTGGAATTAAACTTAAAAAATAAGAAACAAAGTTTTATTTATAGCCAGCCGAACTTTAACATTTTGCTTCTTATTTTTTTCTTGAATTTAATTTTACTCTCCTTCTATGTACCGTCAAGTCAAATATTTCTTTTCATAAGAACGAACAAGTTCGGAGGCCAGCAAATGATTTTTTTTCTTCATTGTTTTTCTGTACTCCGTTTTCCACACAATAATACTGATAATATAAAAATTTACCATCTGACAGTGGTCGTTCACATAAGAAATAGTTCTTCTCATTGCAATCACGATCGTTCCACATGTAGGTCAATGTTACCGGAACTATTTTCATTTTTGCTTGAATGGCTGGCGGAATGCGAAAGTATCGACGCAGTTCAACACAATCCTGTGCACTCAAACCTAAAATTATATGCACATGATGTGATGTAAAATGGAATACATATTGTGTCTCGTGTCCATGACACACGAAGAATTATCAAACTTATAACATACCATCATCATTTGGTTGCTTATTGTAGCCATTATGTTCAGGCCAACCCGGAAACCAATTTGAAAATGTGTATGGATAACCATTTGACCACCGAAAGTCACCTATGAACAACATTTTTTTTTTTGAATAAACCAAACCCAAAGGTAAAAAAAATATTTCGTAGATTAAAACAAATCTTTTACCTTCAAATATTTCGTCCGATGCACCGATCCAATAGGCAACATTTGATCGAAACGTTGCGCTAGAAGGTACAAATAACTTATTGCTCATATTCTTTCACATTGATTATATTTAAAGATTGTTGGCCTTGTTTAGCAACAAACATTCAAATTAAAACCGAATAAAAAATATCACTTACCTATTCATAAGCAATGTATCGATAATTTTTTGTTCGCGTTCCGATTTAATAGAAGCCAAATGACCGCCAAGTGTTTGGCAATGGCTTTCGGCGTCTTTCCATGATAGCATAAGTTCGATTGCCGAAATGCAGAATTGATTAACAGAAATCCAACCAAAGGCACATTGGGACACAATTTCAGACACCGGTAATGCAGTATATTGTATGTAAAGCGATGGTCTATCGTATATATTATCGGCCGTATTTTGGTTGTTAATGTCATCACGAAGAATACCACCTTCACCGTCAATGTTGGCCCCACCACCCAAGTATAGTATACGTGCCACATGAATCAACATTGAATTACCAGTTGATTTAAAGGAAAACTTTTTCGGTCGACTATCGCTATTTATACAGTGTGACCATTTCATTTCATTTGCATCGGTAATGCTGATGGCAACGCCTACACAAAAGTTCACATTTTCCACATATTGAGACAGCATTAAATCGACATATTCATAATCAATGTCATCGATGCTTGTATATTTGTCCTGATTCAATCGTCGCTCCACAATGCTACTACCATTTTTCATTGATTTTGTATAGAAATTTTGAAATAAATTCAATTCAATTTGATTGCCATACGGTAAATGTACGAGAAAATAGCATTCTAAATTATGTTTTGGTTCGAGCAAAAATGAATTATTACGCGTTGTCATTGTGACATTATAACAGTAATCAACGAGTTTAAAATTCAAGCTAAACACTGGATTTCGTTCAAATTTTACGCTCATATTTTGCTGCAATGGAAAATAGTAGACACGTTCATTCGGTGTGATATCTTCAAGTTTTCCGCACAATTTATCATAATCGCTAAGTGTTATATAACTGCCTGTATCGCATGGAATATTCAATCGCTTTATTTCAATCAGTAGGCCAGGCGATTCGCTATTAATTGGTTCGCGCGACGGAAAGAAAATTATACATTTATCGTATTGTTGCTCGGGTAATGCTGTATAATCCACATTTCCAATTGTATCTTTCATATATAATATGCAATCTGGAGCGCATTTTTTTTACATAGTATGGAAAATGGAAGGAAAGAAAGAGAGAGAGGGAGAGAGTGAAAAAAGAAGCAAACACGTAAATACAATTTTATTGTGAGCATTCAACATAAATAATCGATTTAACAAAAAAGAAAGTGGCAGCGATAAAAGAAAATTTGAAAACATTTTTACCATTGCTCAGATTAAATATTGCAGTCGTTTCGTATACATCAAAACTGGATTTTCTTCTAAATAAAAGTCTAAATGAATACGGAAAAATAAAACGAAATATGCGTTATTCATCTTTATTATTTATTTAACGCGAAGCAGAAAATGAAAGCAGAACGATGGTTAAAACGTTGTTTGTTGTTCCATCGATTCAATATTGGCACACGCACCTAAAACTAACAGTCTTGTTTTTCAAATCAGCTATGCTGTACGACCATTTTCGTACGACGTTCAATTGTGACGTTCGACTGCTTTCTATCACATTTTCACTCCAAAATTCTTGTGAACAATGATCGACCACCATGTGATTGTTCATTTTCATTCGTTTGTTTCTTCTTCCTATGCTAATGCTAGAATTAATTGGTGGGTTTGATGCTGTCATATGTTGTCCAACATTGCTATTTGGTATTTCGATTCCACTCTCATCAAACCGAATTTTTTTCATCGACGACGATACATTGTTCTCCATGAAGTGATTGGAGAAAAGTTTGCGATTTTCATTGAGAAACCCATCTTTGTTATCGCCATTATAGTTTGAATGATGCTGTTTATGTTTTCGATGCCAGTTCATTGGTGTATCACTTCTGAATACACCCTTGTGCATTCCATCGATAATGGCTTCCATATAAAAGTCGTCAATGCTTTCGTTTTTTGACAATTTCACATGGACTATACGTGTAGACATGAAGATATGGAAGTGAATTGTTTGCCGATATGAAAATGGAAGAAGAAAGAATAAAAAAAAATTGAAAACACGCGTGAAAATAAAATATAAAGATATGGCTTGCTTGCCCTCTACATAAAATGAATTTTATTCACAAACACAATGTGCTTGTCGGATGCTTCTATGTTGTTCCTTTGTTTGATTTTATCGTTTTTCACAACAAAGACTTTTAACCATACAATGATTTTTAGATAGGATATAGCTTGCGGATCTCCGCAAGATCTGGATCTCGCCGTGCGTCATTGCCGCATGCCGTATGATACATTCACGCGCATGCTGTACACATACGTTCTTCATTTCTTTGAGACGAACGCAATCCATTCGCGCGCCGATGTATTGTATGTTTTTAGCGCATGCGCGAATGTGAAAAAGAGAAACGCAAAACGAAAGAGTGTGTATGAGTGTGTCGTTATTTTAAATAACGAAGAAGCATACAATAGCATTTGTCGTTGTTTGAACAACATACACTCATAACAACATACACTCATTGTAGTTCGCACGCAGACAAAATACGTCAGCTAATGAAAAGTGAGACTTAAGAAAAATAACATTTATTCGATTCATTTTTATTTTTATGGAACGAAATACAATGCATAATTTTGAAATAAAATGAGTTTAGCTCAAATGAATTTAGTTTCAATCAATCTACTTTACCTTTTATGAGTGCCACAATGCCATCTTCAACCGGCGCGTCTTTGATTTTCTGGAATGTGCATACGCCAATCAAAAGTGCTTTGAGAAACATGCAATCGAAGTCAATTCCCGGCTTATTTCGTATATTATAAAATACGTAGATTTTCCTTAAACGAAGTGTTAGCACACAATTCATAGTTGGCTTTGGTCTAGTGTTTATAAATTCTGTCCCGGAATGATAATAAATTTCAATTCGTCAATAAATAAAAATAAAAATGAATCGAATAAATTTATTATTTTAAATTACGACACACTCGTACACACTCTTTCGTTTTGCGTTTCTCTTTTTCACATTCGCGCATGCGCTAAAAACATACAATACATCGGCGCGCGAATGGATTGCGTTCGTCTCAAAGAAATGAAGAACGTATGTGTACAGCATGCGCGTGAATGTATCATACGGCATGCGGCTATGACGCACGGCGAGATCCAGATCTTGCGGAGATCCGCAAGCTATATCCTATCTAAAAATCATTGTATGCTTTTAACATGAATTTCAGTTGGTTGGAACGAGAACCATCGTTACTGTTGCTATTTTAATGGTCTTTTTTACGATCCGACATTTACACCAGTGTAAAATAACACAACTACATATGGGTGCATCGATACCAACTTTTACTTATTATTCGACTTTTTACGACGCGCTTCAAACTTCATCACTCACAAAATTCGCACACAACGGTTGTATTTATTTTGGCTAAGTGTATCGATTTCAATTTATGGCTAAACATTGAACTATACACGTTACTAAAAGAGTTTTTGTGTGGAAAATTTTATTATCAACGTGTGATATCGTTACTATTTATACTATGTTTCAAAGGTCATATTGAACTTCATTTGTGGGTAAGTAGAAAAAAACTATTCGAATTGTTTATGCTAAGTTCAGCTCGGCATCAAATGGATATCACATATTTTAAACCATATAGTGTAAAAATTAACCCAATGTATGAATCCTGAACATAAAATGACAATTTCCACATCCTTTTTTGGCTAAACATGACCGAGGTTACAGAATTCGGTAAAAGATCATAGTGATTCTATTCGGACATTGAGCGAAATCTCATCTCTAGCTAGAACATTTAATCGATCAATCTGACTTTTGGAATTTTCTTTGTCATATCTGCTGACCTTTTCCTACATTTTTTCTCCTTTTCCTATGTACATTTTGTATGAAAATATTTTTATTATTGAAATGTGCGAAAAATATCAGAAGTTGGGAGGGAATCTACAGATTTACTCAATAATTTTTGTTTTGTTTTTAACAATTGCAACGAAGCAAGTGGTCAAAAACATAAATCGAAAATGCTACTCGATAGTTTGGCATTGACAGTGTCCAAAAATAATGATGCAACTGTTGATATAATTATTGAAAACATAGAAAATGTCAAATTATGTTTTGTAAAACTGTAAATCCAAATAATCGAAAATATAAAAGATAATAAAAGTGTCTCCTCTTTCATTCATTGTTACTGTATCTTGGGTCTCCTAAATGAATCGTTCCGCATTTGAAACAATATTGACAAAAAAGTTCTTGTAGCACAAATACTCTCATTCAGTTTTAATAACAGTTGCATATAGTCCATGTGATTAAAATTCACACAGACAATATATTAATAATTGACGAAAAATGAAACTTTAAAACCATACATACCTGTATAGATAACATTACGAACGAGTCCATAATTTGCATCGAACAGATCATGTTTGACGTCAATCGAAATTGATGGTATGTGATTTGGATGTGTCGAACTACTCGCTGACGTGACCAATGTTGCATTTTGCTCTAAATGGTCAATGTTGATAATTTTATAGGGGTGTCCCTTCATTTTGAGATAATCGTCGACGCTTAAATTTTTACAAGGCTTTTGGTTTAACCGAAATTGATTTTCCGGCAATTTAACGAATTCATTTGGTAATTTATCTAAATTTGCTTCGGTGCTGTAAATAGCTTTTGTGCTGGAGGCTGTTGCTGTTCGGTTAAATTCAAACAAAATAAACTCATGAATTGAACATCGAATGACATTATGAATATTTAAAATAAAAGATAAATGTGATAGAGCCATTTAGCGATAGTTGAATCGTAGTTTTTGTTGATTAAAATGAAATTGTGCCTCTGGCAAAAAAAGTGTACCTGCTTTAATTGTTGTTTTTCCTAGTTTTTCGTTTAACTTGTGGTGTGTGTTGTCCGAATTTCCATGCGATTTCCTAATGTGTTCTCTATGTCTATTTTTAATGACAGAATCATTTGATGATGATGGCGATAGCAATGGCGGTGATTGTGATTGTTTTTGTTTTTCATCTTTTTCTTGACTGAATCGATTATCATATTGAACATCGTCAATTGTATCCGCATCAGCCTTCAAATCGAGCTGTTTCGAATTGGTAACATGTAAATATGGTGTGGTCGATGTTTTAATGTCACTGCTCAATTGGCTTGCGGTCGTTTTCAATTCGGTAGGAGGTCCCGGTCCAGCTGGTGCTGGGTCACCACTCAGTTGGCCACAGCATGCATTTAATACAAATGACATGAGCACAAACACCAACAAATCGAACTTCATTTTCTCCGTACTTTCGTAACGCTCTTACATTTAGCATATATGTATTTTCACTGCTTTCACTTCACTATTGTTCACAAATCAAAACAACAACGTTTCAACTAAGCTTATTAGAACGTTTGCGAACGATTTTCAATCTTGAGATTATTATTTCGACGTTTTTTTATTTAGAATTTACATTTCTATTACATATTTTTCTGGTACGTTCATCATTCAAAAATGTGTTTGCTTTTCTCTCTTCGGCTCTCTCTGTTTTACTATTCACTCCAATATTTTTTATTGCTATTAATTCCGTCTTGCATGTTTTATAATTTGCATTGAACAATTAGTAAAACATCCAAAGAACAATGGTGGGATCGATGAATTCTACCCTCTGTTAAAGAGAATATATAAAAATATAATAACAATATTGTTGAAATATAATAATTGTTTATAACAAAATTTAGATCACTTCTATTACAGTCACAGCAGACGGTTTTCTTTTATCAGCAAAATCTATATTTCTTCTTTAACCCTCAAACGCACACGTGGGGTCTCTTAGGCCCTAAGAGTTAGTTTTTTGAAAAAATCACAAAAATATAAAAAAATTGGAAAATTTCGCTGAGCGTTTTCTTTTTTAATATCATATCTATGTGATAAAATCAAAAATTTCAATGTTTGGTGCATAGATGAAGTTTTGGGAAGTCTTATACAAAATACTAACGTAAAAGCACAACGGGGTCTTTTGGACCCCAAATTATTTTGTATGGGAAATGATGTATTCTGTATGGGCCAATATGAAACTCATGGAGATATGTTGACACAACAATTTACATTTCATCAAACAACAACACAGTAAATTGTTTCGTCCGTGACGTATACTGTTCATCGCAAATCAAATGACATTTGCCATTATAATATATATTCATACATTGTTTTTTTGTGGATAGGATAGATCCGTAAGATCTCCACAAGAGCTTGATCTAAGCGTGCATACGCCGCCGCATGATATATTCGTTCGTTTTTCTGTGTTGCTTCGACGCGCAAATCAAAGCAGGCGTGCCAATCAAAGTATGTATCATGCGGCGGCCTACGCACGCTTAGATCCAGCTCTTGCGGAGATCTTACGGATCTATCCTATCCAAAACACAATGTATGGGCATATTTCGTGAATTTGGTGAACGTTGCTGGTGTGGCAGGGTTTGCCTTGTTGCGAACGTCTAACAACATGTTTGCCAAGTATGGAGGAAGTACGGAAGCAACGCGATCTCATCGCACTCCATATAAAGCAATGTAATTGGTTTCGATCACGCAAATGTGCTGCCACCTGGTGTCTCAGAGTTAAGCTGATATATCACACATGCTTCTTGCAAATGCAGAAGAAGAGGAAGGAAAAATGTTTACATAGGGTTGAACTTATAAATGCCAGAGAGCTACAGTGTTCAAAGTGTGATCGCCCTTCGGGAAGCAGTCTCTATATTGATCTCACATATCGAGAGGTAGTTCGGCGCAGTACACGAAGCACATTAACTGGCCAACGACTGTCGATTAGCGATATTAGTGAAAGACACGACTGTCTGAAAGTCGTACATATCAATAACTACCAAGAATTTTGGCTATAATTGATTTTTTTTTCCATAAAAATCAATATTAAATTGTGATGCTGTATTGGAAAGTAAGGAATAAGCTATGTTTTAACTATAAAATGACATATTTTACTCATTGGATACCATTTTGCATAAGTTTTGTATGAAATTTCTCATGGGTCCAAAAAGACCCCACCTGTGCGCTTACGTTACTGTTTTAGCCTGTGCGGTTAAGGGTTAATGAAAGTGGATTTTTAAGCTCAAACGAGATGCAAGTGGTAAAGTTACAGAATTCTGGACGGCACTAAAACGTATCTTGCGATACTTGGCTGGTACGGAAAATTATCAACTACAATTCAGACGTGAAAATATTGAAAGTATGCACCAAGGGACTACCACATCGTACTCTCACATAAAATGCAGTACAAACATAATTCCACATAATTCATATCAACATATAGATTAAATTTCAATGTCAAATGAGTTGAGACTAATGTGATCAGTTTCTATCGTCGTTTCTATCGACGATTCGTCGACTATTCGAATAATTTTCAATTTAATTACTGAAATGCTCTTCATTAGAACACACATACATGTACAAAATTCCAACCGGTTTTTCGATAAAAAAAAACGTGAATTTAAAATGTGAATCAACAAATCAGAAATAAGTTTTAAAATGATGTTTTATTCATAAGTTGTGTGACGCACTTATCACTGCACACACCATCATATATTATAAAAACCGATCCATACATGCTATAGCGTTACATCAGTCATCGAAATTTTAGAGTGAAAAATGGCTCAGTCGGATTATTTGCATTAAACCAATTATGGTTTCGCATTTCAGTGAGGACCCACTTTTATAATTTTCACAACGAATCTAGGCTTTTGCCGCGGTTGTCCCTATTAATAATTTGTGTGGGAGAAAGCAAAGTTTTGGGAGCGGTCATTAAAAAGAGCTTTTAAATCCAAAAATATGACATGTTGCAAAAAGAACGGTTATTTGATAAAAACCAATTTAGTTTGCGAAAGAAAAAAAAATGATATCCAATTATTGGATCTGCCAATATAGGTTGGCTAACACACAAAATTATCGAATCTCTTTTTGAAGCTTTTATTCTTCATATAAATGTGAAGGTGAAGTGAGTTCGCGCATCGCTCGACTATTCTTTGGGTGAATGTTTTATGTATGGTATTTATTCTATATATTCCGTTAGGTATAATTTATTTTTCTGTGCAAATATAACGCATCATTTGAAACGTAACTTTGGTAAAAGTTTGTTTTGGACACGTCAAAACAGGCCTTGGATACCTTTTATCGTTCTTTTTTTGTGTTTGAATAGATCTTTTACGAAACATACGTGGTAATCGACGTTTCGCCACAACTTTTGTTCTTCTCTACACATTAAATATTCCAAAAAATACTATTTGCAATCGATGTAGCTGTATGTGACGTGTATGCCTTTAAATGTATAATGATTTAATTAATGGTAAACATGCGAAATTTTTGTCGCGACACACAAAACTAACAAAGAAAATGTGTTTTTTTAATGAAAAAAAATGGCCGAAATCAACTTGTGCTCATGTGTTTTACAGTCCGAAAATAGTCAGTCACAAGAGGAAATGTTAATGTACTAAAAACAAATCTATTTAGTTTAATTTTTCTTGTGTATTGACGAATGGCATGAAAAGCTTATATCCAAAAAATGATGATTATGAATGCAAAATAAATATTTAAGATCGAAGTTTGACTGTAGTAGCCAGACGACAGACATAAATTCATACTGAAATAACGTTGTTACCTAACAAAATAAGATTGTTCATCTATTTTGGAATTGATTTGTATAGAGATTGGTTGCTTATTTACGGTTGTGAATTTTGAATACATCAGACTACCCTTTGAATATTCACGGTTCTTTTATTTTGTTTTTCTTTATGCTTTTGCAGCATTTATCGAATCCAATTGGCCTTTTGTGAATAAACAAAAACATCAATATTGCTTATACATATCGATGAATTGTATGGGCGACTAGATTTGACCGTGTTTTGCTGAACAATACCGATAGAAACCCACTTGAATATGTACACAAACCAAGTTCCTCGATTTAAACGTGGGAGACGATACGATTGGTGCTCTCTTCGTTCTCTCTCTCTCTCTCTTTCTCACAAACTGTCTTTCGATCTTTTTCATATTCCTATATGTTTTTTTTTTGGGATTTGAAATACCAAATAAATGCAATTGACATCGGATACATCATCTTTAAAACTTTATGCGTACGGTTTGATGTTTTGTGCTTTTTCCAACGTATTTCTAAAATGTGCTCTAGGATTACTAGAGACATTCTTGTTTTGTTGAACGATTAGCATATGAAGGAGAGATGAAGATAAACTTAAAAAGCGATTTTTTTTATCATTAACATCATCCATCAACAGAATCACCCCATACGCGAGTCTATCAAAACAACAAGAAAAAAAAATGTTCGTACACAAACAGAATATTGTGTCGCTTCGGATTCCATACAATGGGCCCATTTTCGTTTGTATTCATAAATGGTTCCACATGTATATGAATGTTTTCATCGTCTGTCTCTGCAGTGGGTGCTTTTATCTCGAATGGTTATTGAATCTTAAGTGAGCAAGTTGTTAAAGGTCTTTCAGTAATCCAAGTCGTAGAAAATAGAGAAGAAAAAAACTCGCCACCCACTCGTCGTTACCCAGTTACTGTCGTTGATACACTGATATGATACTACTTTATTTATGATTTTTTCCCGGATTTATCCGTATTGATTGCTCCAAATCGGCGTATCTTCTTAGGACTACAACAAAATTCAAGCTACTCGTCGGTGTCAAGCTACTTTTAAATTGAGTTGTTATATATCGTACCATTAGTCAGACATCCATGAACATTTTACTCGTATTTTCCACCATCGTATATATTTTTTTTTGTATATATAAAGCGAACAACATACTTTTCACTTGACTCTGTACAATACACGGTATACGGTATGTATTATAAATAAATATGTACTTGAATCTCACTCTCTCATTTCCTCATGCATATTAATTACTGAAGACTTTCGTTCTCTTCACTGAACGTGTACACATTTAGCTCTTTTTTTTCTACTCTTCATTCGGCATTAAAATGTGGAAAAGATGAGAATGAAAGAGAATCACTTGAATATGACATATTCTAGTTTGAAAATACCGTTCAAGCCGGTAAAAATCGAACTCTAATACATCTCTATTGTTCCATTTATAGCGGCAAACAATTCGTTCATACAGACATTTTCACTTTTTAATTTAACAAAATCCAGTTTTATCTCAATTTCAAATGCAAAGAGCTTTTGACTCACATTATTTCAAATATAAATTTAACATTTCAATGCATTTGCAATTTTAATGTAAGAACCAAGCGCACGTTCGCTTTCTTTTTCCCATTTATTTCTTTCATTATGATCGTACACATTTCATTCGGACATTTTCATGCAGCATACATTTTTGAAGTCGAGTGGAATTTATGCTCCATTAACTGTTTCACATATCAGGCTATTTCGTGCAGAACACCATCACCCGATATTTCATTTAATGCGGTGCTCTTTTCCAACAAGAAATCGAAAACTCGTTGAACGAATACCAAGAATTACAAAAGGGAAATAATAAGTAAATAACATGCGCCAAATATTTTTGTATGTGAATATGTGTGTGTGTGTTTATATATAACTGCAAATGTTTGTGAATACGTTTGAAATGTTGATTTTTTTGTTTAGTCATATGTATAAGCACCGTCAATTGCTTTGCATGAGATTGGGTGAGAAAAAATACGACAAACTGAATCGAAATCAACAGCAAATTGTTTCGTAGAAACGCCGTAATTTGTCACCGTTTTAGATATGTAAATTTTGGGTATTTGAATGTATGAAGAAAACAATCTCACATTCGAACTCACAAAAAAAATGTGTTGCCATTTTCCGCTTTTTTCAGCATACCGCCTTCCATTAAATCGATTCATTATAATTTCATTTGATTGCCACCCTAAAATAATTGCCATTTTGTCTTTCCAACCAAAATTTGCGGCAATTTTTTTTTTAATTTTGCTTATTCGCAGGAGTTTCGTCTCTCCAGTGGTTGACACCATATTTTATAATTAATGTATATACATTCAGTGTGTTATAAAAAAGCGTATTAAACTTGCCACGGGTTGAGTCATTTTCAAAATACGCATTGCTGTGCAATTAAAAAAAGGGCAACGATAAAGAGCGAAAAAATAAAAACGATCAAAACTAAATGCATGACAAAAATGCGATTTGAACGAATCGGACAGAATTTATCCACACGCCGACAATGTTTATATATAAATTGTGTTTCTCGCTTGTGTTGTAACTGACTGATAGCATGTGCAAATAAACTGGCGTGTGCAAAATCTTCATCTGAAATTGCATACGAAAGGTGGCCAAAATAAAAATAGAAGCATGCCATAAAATTACGTAAGTAATGCCACCACTATAATAAACAATGGTTCCAATCTATCGATTGTCCACGAATAATAATAAAAAATGTCGTGTTTTTTAGAAGTTTCTATGGAAGAACAGCTCGTGAAAAGTTCTATGTTTAAGAAACAATAAAACATTATTTGTTAGATCGTGGTTGATTTGCATTTAATGTTTTTTTGAACACATTTAACATGATCTTCAACATAAGCTAATACAATCCGTGTCTCTCCGTTTTCATGCATAAAACTATGCATGAATTAGGCGCCTATTCAAAAAAGAACAGAAAACAACTTAATGTATGCCATAACGTCACTTTTGCCATACATATATTGAGTTGATTGGTTTGGAAACTACCTCCTGTTTTCGGTAAAAAAAACATCCGTTTAACCTTTTTCTTCAATAAACTATCGGTATTGATACAGAAGAAATAGTTTCTTCTTTTATTTTTTGTTTAACTTTGTTTGAATACACTCACACACACACACATTTCGTGTGTAAAATGACGACAAAGAGGATGGAAGTTGTAAGTTGCACGTCATCCATTCCATAGTTTATTATGTCACTCATTATATAATAACAATGTTCATGTATATTTAACACCACTTTTAGACCATCGTTGACTTTCACTCCATCACTTTCTCAGCTCATGGCACTGCACACTATTCGGATGTTTTATATAAACTACAATTCTTATTTCAGTCAGAAATTGGCATTGCATTTGGTTTGTTATGCACAGCATGAGAAACACAGAATGTTTAAATATGGGTCAACATTGTAACGACGACAACGACAACCACTATTTGTCAACAACTCGAGAGAAAAAAAAAACTAAAGGAAAAATAATCTATATGCGATAATAGATATATGACACAAACAAATAAATCATAGTATACTATACATCATTGAATGGCATGAAAAATCAGAATTTCCATACGTTGAGATACGTGTGTCTCGTGCATTAAACGAAACAAATATAATATGGAATTAATATGGAAAAACGTTGCGGAATATGCGAACGAACACAATGAAAATGTATACATTCAATTTGAATTTTGAACAACAACAAAAAAACAACATAGCAAACAATACGTGGTGTACCTACACAATGCCGACGTAATAAGCTCTTTTGCTTTTTTTTCGCTTTCTTCCGCTTTTTTGGTTTCAACATAAATAATTGAAAAATTCTTTGTCCACCGTGAAATGCCATTCATTATATCGTTAAGTTGGGCCGTTTTACACTCAAGAATACTTCAACATGCAATTCTGTCTTTTAAATGCTGTCATCACTTTTATGTTTTTATGTTGAAAGCGAGAGGAACAGAGAGAGAGGGAGAGAGAATAAGTACGAGCTTCTTTCAGCCGAACAAAGGATCACAATCGATTATCACAGTAAATTATGACAAACGGATTCACTTCATTGGATTGCTGGTTTGTTGCTATTCGCTTTGCCAATTATTTAGAATAACATGTCAACACATAAAAGCTCTTTCAGGATTAACAAACATCCAATTATTTCCACGACATGTTCATTCAACTTTAATAGGTAAAATATGGCAAACGATAGTTGTGACAAATTATTCACAAATTCCATCATCCACATACACATAGACATAAAAAATTGCTCGAATTTAAAACATTTGAAACTCTTGAACGATAATGGGCAGGGATGATTATCAAAATACACACTCTGAAAAATGGATCGTCATGAAATTATACTAAATTAGTGGATATTGACCAAAGCCCTAACGAAAACACCAAAATGAAACAAACAAAAATTAAAACCTTATTACTTTGTAAATATAATCCACAATATTTATAGATTTGTATTTTTTTTGCGTGCTATTCTCTCTTTAATTACAATTATTTCGAACTTTTTCGATTTCATCGATGAAATTTAGACATATTTTTCTTTTATTAGTTTAATTCACCTTGTAAATTAAACAAAAACAAAAACAAAAATTATACTTCACACACCAGTTATATCAGATTTATACACATCGTAATATTTTCTTTAAAAAAAAATCGAAGGAATAACTTTACTATCAGATCCGCTGCTGTTGAACGAACAGATCCTTTGTCCAAGTCAATTCACTTTTGGTTGGCGTGTTTCAAAACGAGAATAGTAATTGTTCACGAAAACACTTTGGATGTTTGATGTGAATGTATGTGTGTTTGTAAGGCGCGCATTTCAAGAAAGTACACGATTTTCTTTTCAACCACAACGAAACCAGTATGGTACGGCAAAGCACAAATATCGACTATCACACACTCAAACACATAACTGTGTGTTGGAATATTTGTTGAAGGCGACAGCACCGTTATGGTAACAAACCAAGCTTCAAATAACACATGGTGTGCGCTTTTTTTGTAGTTGGTATTGGTTTCTATGTATAAGTGAGTGTATATATATATATGTCGGCATATGCGCACAACTTTTATCATTCGTACGATGAAAATGTGTATTGCACGACTTGATTGTATGTTGCCTTATTAGTTCGCGTTGGTTGAAATGAAATAGCATTTGCTCTTTTTTCTTGTAATTTTTCTCCCCCAAAAATTAATTCCACTATATCGTTTCGTTGTGGAATTTATACGGTTTTTTCTTTTTATCGCTACTGCAAAGAACAGTTCTAACTGTCTAACTGTTCTCTCAACTATTTCAAGCATCAAAGCTTTTCAAAGCTATCCATAACTTGTTAGAATATCGAAATACACACACACAGAGAGAGAGAGAGAGAGAGAGAGAGAAAGAGAGTAAATTTTTATGAAATCTGATAACATGCACTGGCACTCACAACTATTGGTCAGTGTGATCTTGATTCGTTAATTTTGGATATATCATTTTTTTAAATACGTTGCTCCCCTTAGAATGCAGACAAACACTGTTTGTTCTGATGAATATTCAACTGTTCAAATTTCTTACCGTGTTTAAGTATTCATGTGGAGCCGTAGTTTGAAATATTTCTTGCTGTGGACAATTAAGTAGTTGCCCATAGAAAATTCGCTAAGAGAAGCAAACACGAACGAGAAAAACGATGTTGAGGGTTACACGCGACCGGTTACCAGAAGTTGCAAAATCAGTCAAACACGTTTTTAAAAATATATTCTCGCGATCCGGTAGATATTTATTGTTTTTTTTTTTTCTGAAGTACCACATCTGTGCTTGGAACTTTTTCCGTAACCTACTTATCTTCGAGCGTATTTCAATTTCGATACTTGGCAAACATGTTTCCAATAAAATTCTTTCGTGGCATTCTGCGCGTTACTTATGCGAATAATGTCTATAAGACACACAACACCGAAATAAATGCAAAGAAAATTGAATTTATATACATATCAGAGCAAAAGTTCTGTTCATATCGATATGTAAGTGTTAAATAATAGATTTGCTCAATTTTCTTATTTGCGTCGTTTTGTGGTAAAATGTATGTCCGTTCAATGGCATGTTGAATCAACAGTTTAATTATTTGGTTTTTTGGCGTTTGATTGTGTGTATGTGCTTATTTGTATCAATGTGTAGCATACATGGAATGATACTTTATCTCTCTGCAATGTCACTCAAAAGGTGAGGCAAAAAATAAAATTAATAATATAAAAATTGGGCGGTTCAATGGTCGCCCGTATGATAAATGTATCCATATATGTTGTGCAGCGCTACAGATGTGTGTCTCTGGAGACACGGAAATGTTCAATCTCTCCAGCCTATAGCATTTATGTATCATTTCTAAAACGTGTTTGCCACGTGCCAAATCCAACAAAATGATGTGAAGCAGATGCTTCAATTGAAATTTTTTGCTTAGATCTCTTTTAGGCGGTGTAATATTCAAGTTCCTCTTTGTATAAACTGTTTGCACTGACAATTCTATTCATCAAATAATCAATGTTTCTGTGCCTTCCTCTATGCTAATCACCAAATGATACATCAGTATAGTAACAAGAGGGTCATAAATTACAAAATATATGCAATATATGCGCTACAAAAACTTTAAAACGCCCGAAGGTATATTAAACTTTTCAAAGTATACAGTGTACTAGGGGCTTTTATCTTCAAATGTATACGATTTAAACTCTAAATAGTGAACTATATTGCAAAATCATCTGTAATACGCGCAAATAAATGTGCATAACTGCATATATTTGGTGTATATTTCGTGTATATTTCGTATATATTTCGTCTATGGCATGTTTTTTTGTTCTCTTTTGTGCGGATCTTCTTCGATTCTGTGTAGCAATACTGTGTGTGTGTGTACACTGAAGTTTGAAATACATCTTATTCACTGGTATAGGCGAGAAATTTTAATCGTATATATGATGAATAGGACGTGAATATTGTGTATAAATTTGTATGAACGAATGATGAAAGCCCCTAGACAGTGTATTTTTAATCTCAAAATTCTTTTTTATGCAATTAATTTTTTCTCATCACTCTGATTTTTTTGTGCACCCCATTTTCAAAAGACATACATTTTAAGTGATATGCCCGAATTGCAATTCAAAGCCAACAATTTTCAGGTGAAGCTGATGGTTTTAAAAAAAATGCTCTGAAGCATACTTTTGCACAGCGACTCTTTGTGGCCGAAATCAAACAAGAAACGTCTTTGTTCGTGAATTTGGCATTAGCATGTGTATTTTATTCAATGTCGTTGAGAAAAAAAAACTCGATCTGTTTAGCAAAAGCGGGCAAACGTATTCTGAATGTTAGTGATAGCTCATGTTTAATCAATTTGTACGTGTTTGTTTGTCTCTCCGTTCAATGCAAGCGGATGTGTTATTGGAAAAGACAAACACAAATAATTAGCACAAACATTACTGAAAAATTTGCTTTCAACCAGTCGATTAATTACACTTTGGCCTGATAAAATTATAAACAGCTATGTTATGTTGAATTTTGCTACCTGTTCTTTTGAATTATTTTTGATGATGAAATCGGCTTTGTATACGTTGCAAGCCATCTAGTTAATTGGGTGTCATGTTCGGTCTTGTGAAAGCGATAAATGGTACTCATATTCAATAAAGAGCATATGTAATATCGTATGGTCATAACTTTGAATTGATTGTTTTCATGTGATTGAACAAAATATCGGAAACAAAAAGTAACAAAATGCATCAAATGTAAGAATTAAAAAAAAAATTCATCACACTTTGTTTCAATTTTTTCATTAACCAATAAAATAAATGCTATTTCAAAGTTAGAATTTAATTAGTTTTCACACATTCAGAGAACAGTTTTACCCGTCCGTTGCATGAAATTGTATACGATTCCGATTGTATTCAATTATTATAACCTTCACAGTATTATCGTTCTACATTTGAAAATTGTTATATTAACTGATACTGGTGAAAATTCGAGAGAAAAAAAATGTGAACGTGTACATTTACTAGGTCACTAAATCAACGAATAAGAAGAAGAAGGAAATGAAACATACATTGAATTTAAATAGATTGCCACAACATTTCTATGTAAAAAATATATGTATTGACGTTTTATTTTCAACGAAAGTTCGGGTCACTTTAATTCTCACTCATTCATGTATCGTACTCTATGATTAGAATCATCTTATACCCTCACTAAAAGAGTGTTCTTTTTTTCTCTCTTTCTCTGTGAGATTTTCTATTGATTGAAATACTGTTCGATGAACGACGAAATTTGATTACTTCATTACGTAAATTGCATCACACTATATCCAATCGTTGCATTTCAATGACATGCGTTGAAACCTCGGTTGAAACAAGCACACTGAATAATAATGGATACCCTTTTCCCGCATTCGTTGCTTCGGTATCAAAGATAAAAAAAAATCCAACGAATCTACCAAAAGACAGAGTTACATTGTAACCATACGATGGCTGTAAGTGCAGTGAGCACACATTTTACATGAGTTTATCGCAATGAACAATTTAAATGCAATTTAACTCAGAGAGTATGAGTATGCTTTTTAAACGAAAAAAAAAATCAACAACAATTCAATTACTATGACCTCGATCAATATTCATTTGAAGCTTGAAAATACACGAGAAAATCTGTAAATTATATACACTATTGGCAAAATAAAATTGACTGCATTTTCTTGCAAAGAGAACATTCAATCAAACTGTTACTGAAATTGTTTCAAATAAAACACAACCAAATAAAATTTGTGTCGCTCAAAAACATCAACAACAAAAAAATCAATATCCGAAACACGTGCAAAATGCTAGGGGCTTGGAAGTAAGTTTAAATATATATTCACAAGTATTCACACATTTTAGTCAGTGAACAATAAGTTTGAATATTTATAAACGTCCACAACTTTCTGTAAATATTGATAATTTTCGTAAATATGCTGCATATAGTGTAATGACTGTTGTCAAATCACACAGGCTTAAAATATAAACTGCACACTTTTGAAGTTCTTCGCCCAAATTAATTTTTAGTCCGAGAAATATTTTTAGCTTGAAACTTTTCCTATTCAATTCTAACAACGATTATTAAGAACAGTGTCGCGTTTTGTATGAAGTCTGAACTGTTTTTTACGCACATCAAAGAGACCTATACTTGTTATATAAACTTTGTCTCCACACAAGACCCCCACGCATACCCCGAGGGACCTAAAATCGCTGCTGTATACGAGCTTGGAAATCAGATGTTATCTGTATAACCACGTAAATGTTGAAATATTTGTCGTTCTATACCCAATTTATAAAACATGTATTTTTGACGTTTTTTTCTCAAGTTACGAACCCCTAGGTAAAACATATGTCCTCAGCAGGGGTCCGATTACCCCAACCCTCCTGACGAAGTCTTACCCCTTAAAAGAATTCTTTCAATTTGCTAGGGATTTTGGCCAAAAAAGTAAAAAGGAAAAAAAAACGGAAAAAATACAATTTTCACAAAAAACAATTCACTTTTTTGTTTACCCCTCTCGATTTTTTTCAGCCACTTAGATTTTTCCCTTGAGGACGTATGAGGTAAAACATAAAACAAATATACAGAAACATTGTAAAGTTTACAATGTAAACATTGTTTTACTATAAACAATACAAAACTTACAATGCACATTATATGACTGCAAATTCTTGGTCAAATGTTGAACAGAAAAGGACAAATAAACCAAGTTTGTCAATAATAATAATGATTTTGCGTGATATGATATTTTTGGATAAAGCACAATAAACGAAGAAAATAACCATTAATTTAAAGTACAAATTTCAAGCAAAAAACAGAAAATGTGTTTTTTTTTTCTCGCTAGCCCAGTCCAGATTTAACAAACAAAACAGAAACTCGACATGATGCACAGAAGTATGCGATTAAAAAACATACGCCATAATATAAGACTTGAAATAAACATTCATCCAGTTTGTTTTATCCGCGAATAATTATGCTGCATAATTTATGCAGGTATCACGGGTGGGAGTTTTATATTGATAAAACTAATATGCTTAGAGTTAGCTCGAATCGAGTAGGTTTGAGTGCATAGTTCTATATTGTTTTCTGCTTTAAAACAAAATCGATAATAGCTGTTTGTGTACAAGGAAATTTTAAATTACGACCAACCACAACATATAATTTAGTGGTCATTGGTCAACAACGTTGACTACTTCAATTTTTAATCGTATGCGTATATTGTGACAATCTACAATAAAAAAATATACGCTTCAACATAGCACGTTGTTTCGCAATTAAATTAATGCTCATTAAATGAACTAAGTAGCGTCAATTCAATTCAAATCAATTTATTGTTGACAAATGATCTGTATGTATGCTAAGAATTGAAGTGCGTTGATGAGAATATCGTTTTACGACATATACACAAGCACGCACAACAAAATTGTATGATGATTAAATGTACATTGTTTTCGATGAAACAAATTAAAGATAAAATATTGCCTCACGTTTCGCTGACACCAATATTGGGGAGTTTCATTGTGTGCACATCGGTTCGGTCGTCTCAACAAAAGTAAATATTGAATTTTCAAATTAACCGTTTTAGTAAATTCAATATTCGATAGACGTCATACGAAAATTCATTTGCTTTCTAGGCGTGCACACCATATATGAAGTGTATGTAAAAAAAATAACGCAAACAGGCGTGTGACCATATATCTTTTTTTAATTTTGGTAAATGGTTACAAACAAAATCATATAACATGCTCAATTGCTGATCAGTACGCGCTGCGAAACGAAATCGATGTGTTGTTCGGCACAATCGTCAATATAACGTTTTGTGAATTACGATAGCTATCATAATAGCCAGTATGTGATAGATACTTGACCGGTAAACAATTTCTCTTATTACTTGAACGTTTTGAAAAAAAAAAAAAAAAAATTATAATTCAGAAAGACAAAAAAAAAACATTATCGCTGAATTCGTTGGGGTAAATGTGTAAAAGTTAAAAAAAAAGCTATAACGAAAAAAAAACAGAATTTTGAAATCCTTCGAAATTTGAGTTTGTTGTGAATCCACCACCCAAAAAAAATCCACCACACAAGACTTGTGACAGCCCTACATTTGAACAGATTATTGGTATTTGAGCAGTCCAAAAATGGCTGACAGTGAAATAGAGGAGGCTAAAAACCTCGTAAGTCTCATTGTTTTGAATTTTTTGTTCATAAATTTGTGCATTTTATTTCCAGTACAGTTTATTAGTGCAAATTAAAAAATTGTAATTGTTTTGGCGGTTTTTTGTGTGATTATCAATCAATCATTAAATAATAAATGTTCAACCGAATCTTTCTTATGTCATGAAAGAAAATTCAATTGACTTTTACCACTCTCAATGTATTATACTGTATGACGTTAGGATTGTGTGTGCGATATGTAATCAACAATGTGAATGTGGGTGTAATGTTGATGCAAAAGATATTGTTGTGTGTGTAGAAGTGCGCATGCACTACAGTGACGGTTTCGTTGACAAATACAGTTGTTGTTTTTTTCTGTCTGGCACGTTGTTTATGAATGTACATAAAAACAAAATTGATAAAAACTGAGCTAAGTACCAAGGAATGAATGTTTGCATCAATTTTATAGGAAAATCAGAGAAGAATTGACAATGCGTTTGTAAATACCGCCCGCCACTTTTTGAAAAAAATCATGATTTTGAAACAGTCAATTTTGAAAATTTTTTTAGTTTATTTTAAAAGAAAACATTCAAAATTAAATTCTAGACGAAAAGAATTGCATCTCTCTTGAATGGAAAGGGAATGGAATTCATAAAATTAAAACTCAATACCACTTCAATTGATTCATTTTCATATTTTACAGAAAATCGAATTCGAATGGGTACTTAGTATGGAAACTCATTCTGTTCTCAAGAATCTCCATTCACTTCTCGTGGTAATTGAAATCAATACTTTGCTTTGACCTTTTTCAATCAATTTCAATTGTTTTCATCTCTAAATATTTTATTTATGTGGTTAAGGAATGTGCACACCGATTTCCAGTGTATGGTAACGAAGCCGGAAAACAAGATCAATTCATATTGACGGTTCCACAACAAGATCAATTAAAATGCGTTGTTACATTAACGGGTGATAGCATCTCACAAGCAGTAATTACACCATTTATTTTCGAATTGCAAATGTGTGTTTGTATTGATCATCTTTATTCTTTGCAGGACATAAGTTTTAAAGTTCAGAGAGCACAAACACTATCTCAACGAACAGCCATTAATCCTGAATCGCCGTGGAAACTTCAACAAGTGCAGGATGCAGCCAATCATCTCCAACAAGCCATTTATCATATTGACGATGTGGACAGCTCGTATCGTTTTAAGTATGCAAATTTATTCATTAAATTATCCAAACAACTAATATAAATATTGAATTGATATTCTTGATTAACTTTGAAACAGGTCATCAGATGAAGTACTGCATATCATAAGCAATATTTTAGAAGCATTGCAACGGGCCAGAACCAGTCTTGTCATTCCGAAAAAGAAACCCATCGATGAACTCATGAAAAGTAGAAATATGGTAATTTTATTTATTATTATTTTTTAAATTAGTGTTTTCATAAATTGATGAACATTTCTGTATCTATTTATTATTAGAAATCTCTAATACCCCTTTTGCCGGACGATTTGGCCATAAGCTTTTATTTGCAAAGCCACAAATTAATATTTGCCGTCTATCAACTGACAAATGTACAAGGAACGATAAAATTTGATTCATTTCAAGCTGAATGCTCAGTACCATGGATAAATGAAGTGCTGGTTTTTCTCACTGTTGCCATGCAACTTTGTCAGAAATTGAAAGACAAGGTAATTTACACATTTAAAAACAACAACACATTTAGCGTTCTGATGTTAAAAATTACAACTCCCATCCATTAAATCTATTTGTTAAACATAAAACTAACACTGGACTGTTTAAATTCGATTCTTCACCATTTTTGTGCTTTAAAATGGTATTAATATATATTTTTAAATGCTGTAAAATTAATGGAATTTATTTCTATTTCAGATTTCGGTATTTTCGCAATATAAAGACTTTACCGTTAATTCTCGATCACCATCAGCAACATTTTACTAGAGGGCTTTAGAGATTTCCATTTATATGTGTATCTAAAAAAATATCACTCAGTTTAATGCATAGAAGATCATATATTTATTGAAAATCAAATTATCAAATTTATATGTTAAAACTTCTGTTTTGCCAAAGGTCATGTTAAAACGTTCTAGTTGTACTAAAGCAAGACAAAAAAAGAGTGAACAACTAATATCATTAGAATCTAAACTATGCTATAAGTACTTAATTTTACTTGACTTTTAGATTTTATTGAGTTGTTGCTCATTTTTTGTTATATATAATGATAACTTGATTTATTTGACTAAAAGGGAAAATTATTCATTAATCGAAATCGAATATGCGAAAACAACGTTCCAAAAAAACAAGTTGCTCTGGGCAATATAAATTATATGATTTCTCGTATTTTTAAGGAAGAAAAAACATATCTAATACGTTTACCTAATACATATGGCAGAATTGAGATCAACACACCTTAAATGGAACACATCAAGTGTTAAAATGACTCATTTTAAATCAGATTTTCCATATTTATTTGAGATCACGATCAATTAGCACATCCAAACGCAGTAGAGAAGTTTTATATGCACTTGTTCGTTATACGAATAAAAAAAAATATGAAAAATTTAGTATTGACAAAAAAAAATTCCATTTTTAAAATGACTTTCTTTGATACTTTTTAAGTGCCTTAATTTTTAGCATTGCACAAGCAAGACAATTACAATAACATTTCGATCAAAATGAATTAATCTTAATCTATCACCAAAAAATGATTATGTTAGATATGCTATATTTTATTTAATCCATCAAAAAGCCAAAAGATATTTTACAAACTATTTGAAACGCACATTTTTGATATTGAATATATGTGAATTATTTGTTTGTTTTTTTTTTTTGTGTTCCAAAACGGCACTAGATTTTAATTTATTATTTATATTGATATCGATTCTTTTGGATATTTTTGTGTTCAATCCTTAAGTTATTATTATTATGTGCTAGTTAATTATAAATTTGATTAAAAAAGATCCATATTTTTATTTAAATTTAAATCGCTTTTTTTTGTTGCGTAAAGTTTCCGTGTAAATTTCATTTATGTTAATGTGTCTTAGGAAAATCAAATTGGTTGGTAAATTTACAAAATGTACGTGATTTCTGTCAATTAATTGGACAAACTATAGTTCAAAGTCCGAAGAAATTAAAAAGTCAATTTCGCGAAGAAGGATATCGTAGCATTTCAAAGCACAATGCTGAAAATTTGCTTAACCGATTTAATGGCATAAAAGTATTGGTGCGCCATCTATTGACATTCG